TTGACGAGGTGAAGTTAACCTCAGTCGTCGGCCGTCGCACAAAAACTGGCAAACGCGTGGGCACGCAGGCACGCAGTGTCGAATAGTGCAGAACCTGGTCCAAGCAGTGGAGTGTTAGAGACGTTAAAAGGGGATGCCAGAAACGGGAAAATCGGGAGGTACTACTATCAGCAGCGTAAGTTACATTAATATCTTGCCCTAAACACCACAACCTCTTCATTCTTGCTCGCTAATTAACACAATAACATTACCAAGGGCTGACTAATATTTCTCTAATTTCAAAATATACCAGAGTTCTGGAATGAACTCCTTGTACTAAAAACTTGCATCCACTATTGTGATGGATTCAATTTGCATATTATTTCAAAGATTCCGCTTTAATATATTAGAAATTAGGGGTTTTCTTCTAAATGAAGAAAAATTATGGCCGATCTATTAAAACAAACAAGATGCGCCATTTACTAAGTTCTTTACCATTTCTTGAGTCGAATAATCCAAAAAATTATGGATTTGACTTATAGACTTTATTCTGCCGTCTACCAACTAGTTTAAGTACTTTCCGGTTATTTTTCTCCACTTTTAATTAGCAGGGTATTTTATAATTTAAAACCATAGGTGTTTTATAGGGTCAAAGTTCTATCAATCTCAAATGACATTTATGAGACCAAATTATGAAAGCAAAATACGTCGAGAGCAATATAGCAACTTAAGTCCTTCTAAAATCCCACCAGAATGGGTGACTGAATTATTACTGGCCCAGAAGAGGGCTTGGAGTCCATGGGCATACCCGCAACATGCGTAGACTGAAAAGCCCATGTAGTTGTTTTTACGGTAAAGTAAATACTAAATCTCTTTAGTAACTCCAGTTCTAACTAAAATTGGTACTTACAATTTGTTTGGGAGGGATTTGACTAACACGTAGTTGGTGCTCATTGTCAGTTTGATATAAACATTTTAATAACTGTATAGTTAATTATCACTGTCCAAAAAGTGGGGGAAATTTTTTTGCTAAGAGCATTTTCACCTAGCCAGATTGACAAGATGTCCTTGACCAACTTACCGATGACCCTTTCAAGGGCGCTTCAGAAGCTTTAAATTAGGAGAATTGCAACATGAAATTGTTGATAAATCATTTTAGAAGTGGGTCTCTCTCATTTGATAAAACTGAAGGTATTAAATAACGCTTGGGATTTTTTATATAATTACGTATCTCTTTCTGCTTGGATCACCTCCACAAAATTAGCATTTCTTAGTTCAAGAAGGGAGGAATTGTTGGTTAAATAATTTAATAACATCGTGAATACATTTGCAGATTAAGACTGCAATGAACAGGAGAAATGAACCGCTGGTAAGACCTGTTATTGCGCCTTACTTATCCCACTGCGTTTGTGACCATCACGCCTTTGAGTTTGTGTTGTCTCATTCCCCATTTATATCCTAAATGGTGACGAAGCCCTCCTTTACTTTCTGAAACATAAAATGCCATTTCTTCCTATTAAAAAGAGGAAGTCGACTTGTTTATGTTGGGTGAATCTTGGTCGGTCAGGGGAGTGCCACCTGACTTGCTGATTATTCTGTGGGTGGTGTCAGACATGCATCTGCACTTTTGATTTGTTCCAAATGAAAAAAAAATGTGTGTTTTACATTCTTTCTAACAATATTTGTGTATTGCACTTCATTTATGCATGTTTTGACTTGGCAATGGGTTTAAAACAGTCATTTGTCATTTTAACTTGTCAAAACAGTTTCTTCTTTGTCAATTGCCGCCTATCATAGACTCATCGTTAGTATCTTCCCTCCCCCACATTCGAGCATTTCTCGCATTCAGCATGATCCATCTGTCCAGCCGCTGCGTGTGCCGTTAATATTGCATGTCCTGTTTGACGCCTACTCCCAACCGGAATTTACATCAAATTGTGTTTTTGATACCTAAAACCTATAGACCATTTTAAAATTCCTTAAAATATTTGGCACTGAGTTAATCTTAAAGATCATATGGATGACCTTCAAACTAACTATTCGTATTTTATTTTAATCAGAGTTGGTGTGAGTAGATTTTGAACACTTCGTGAACTTTGAGATAGCTGAAGTCTTCCAGATTTCCAGTCACTACTTATATTGTGTCCCCCGCACAAACAAACTCCGTAGAGACTCCTCAATCTTACTCAGTAATGCTCAGAGAGCCATAACAACTAAGCTTACTAAAAATATCGTTGTTTATTTCTCCAAAGATTAAAGATCTCGACGAGAGAGAGATTTCCCCCTGATTATCTGATTAGCCTACCATGCAGCTATTTGCAGCACAGAGGCGCTCAAGGCCACACGCACCATTCCGACACCGCCATTGGCCAGTGCGTCACTGGAGCTCATGCAAGTAGGAGCTGTTATAGCATTTATTTTCAATATGGGGAATGAAAAGATACGGTCAAAGATAACTGGTGCAAATAAGCCACGACCACGTGACATTGATTTGAATCCTCAACCCTTCATCCAAAGTCATAGACGCCGAGTCGTTCCACAACCTGAGATCCACAGGCTTCCACAGATAGAGCGCACTCAATCGTGGGAATGGAAGGAGGCGCAAAGAGAAAGACCGTCGAGAGAAAGCCTTTACAGGGGTCTTCCCGAAGTTGTAACCCTTTCAACTTCCTATTTTGGCAAAAATGATTCGATTAAGCCTCGCAGATCGTTGAAATCTCCCCAACCAATAGCGCTTCACAAAAAACCTTTTTATCCAGCTGGTGTGGTGCATTCACAAATCGGAGAGGAGAATAGGCCGCAGGTTGCTGTTGCCAGGTTGGCTTATCGACTGCCTGAGACGAGACAGGTTATGAGGGCTCGAACCCTCTCAGAGCCTTCTAGAACACCGAATTTCCATGTCGATAACTCAAACCAGCACATTTATAGGCGAGGCTCTCTTCCCCCTGTAAGACTTTCTTTTGGATTTTGGTTTCCTCCCTGACCATCGTTAATATGGTTTTTTTAATTAAGACCCTGAGTATACGGATGAAAGCTGTTTTAAAAGGGCAATGCTTAAAGTGCTCTTGCGTAAAACCAAGTCAACACTATGTTGCAGGGTTCAGAGCCACGGTAGTTTGGGCATAAACATTGCTAGTAGTACTTTTCTTATGTGATTTTCTACCTGTTTATTTACGCACTTTAAAGTGGCTATTTGTACTTTCTGGTCAAGAATTGGTAAAACAATATCAGTTTTTTTTTTCACTCAAATTTGGTTACTTTCCTGTGAAACTGTCTAGCCAATAGGCAAAGAAGCCAATAAATCGCGGGGCTCACTTTCCACAAGTGGTTTCTTTATTTAACTTGGTGTTGGAATCATGACAAGACCGTAATTGATTTTGGACAGTACACGGGCGGGTGCCTTTTTCTAGAAGTGCTTTTCAATGCCGGTAAACAAGCCATACTTCCACTCACAGTCGTTGCCCTGCCTAGTCATCGGTGGAGGTGGCGTTTCGCGTTCCCATTAAGGACAAAAAGTAATAATGTGTTCCACTGTGCACAAGGCGTCGCATTCCGGCGGGTGGTCAAAAACTGGTGACTCATCTGACAACCGTCTCTCCCAATGCACATACTTTTACATGCACTAGCTTTTTTAGATGAAAATGTCCAACTTACCTACTCGATATTCTATCAAACATGAAGTAGGATAAACAGGTGGTTGGTTTGTTTCGAATGGCACTCAACTCTCAAGTGATAGATTTAGATCTTGTAAGGAAAACCCTTAAACATTTTGGCTTCACTCGATCGTTCTAAATATTTCAAGAATGTTTGAATATCAACCATCTCAGATCATATTCTTAGGGATGGGGGGTGCTTATCAAAATAACTGCTTTGTGCACATTTCTGGTAGTTTTTTTATCCAATTTCGTCAGCGATTTTAGAAGACATTGTTCCACAATGCATTACACTCATTTAATCAAAGGCCTCGATCGGACTGCCTCCTCGACCAATGGAATCACACTAATCTTCGCATAATTATCCAATCAGACGGCGAGGAGAGGAATAACTTTGGCTATTATAAAACATTCCAAATTTTGCATGATTTTTACCGTAAATTGATAGATGCCTTTATAGGGGATATACCTTTTTGACTTCTCGCTATTTCAGCTTATACGACGGCCACGTATCGCCCTTCTAAGTCATGTAATTCTTCTCGTTGTCAACTTGTCGTGCACTTATTATTAATTATGCCTAAAGTAGATCTCTTATTTCAATCTTCTAGTCTCCACGACGACGAGAGTTTAGTTACCTTCTAAATAAAGTAAATTCAATGTTTGTTTGCTTGGCTGTTGTCACCCTGTCAATTGTCGCAGCCATAGAACTTTCACTAAGCCCTTTCTGTTTTCACTTTTTAGAAAACCAAGTCAACTGCTGTATCTTCAGGTAGGAGTGATTTGACTACCCCTAACCCTTTACTAATCTATCCTCCTCTGCTTGATCTTGACTTTTTGCTGACCACAAATGATTTAATCATGGCAAAGGGATGTAGGCGGGTCGATGCTAATGTTCGCATGTAATTGCGGTCACAGATGGCCTGTTGAATGACAAAGTAGAAGCAGAAGATCCACCTGAATGCCTTTATTTAGAATAAATTGCATGGAACTGATTGCTTTTCTGCTGCATGAAGTGCATGCTATTACTTCTTATCCTAGGTACACCTGTCAAACCAATGAAATCTGAGTCTTGTCGTCTAATCAGTGGAGAGAGTCCCACTTCAGTAGTTATTTTGAAACCAGCATGGGCATCTTTCGTCACTCCGTTCCCACCGGTAGGTATTTGTCGATAAAAACTGATTTATTCGCTTACGCCAACTTAAAAGCGGGATAGACAATAGCGAGCGCAGTGACCAATCACAAGCAGGCAATTTATCGATCAGTGATACACGTGCATGTGCGGTCGTGGGCGGGTGGGTTAAAACGGCGGACTCGCACAGGTGTTTGTAATTGGCTTCGCCCACAGATATTGTGCAGATGATGCGCAGAAATGCCATAAAAACGGGTACAGTGGCCCAAAATTAGATTTGTAATGCCTTTTCGACCCTTTGTTTTACGAGAGAAAATTTCTTAGGTTAGATAACCATTGGTGAGGTTTGAACAATTGATTGCAGTGTTTTGTATCTCCTTGATTCATTCCCTAAATTGAAAGAATAATACTAGGGTTAAAAATGCATTTCCGACGTGCAGAAGGGCTGAGCACTATTGGTATGGACGGGAGGCTCTGCCTTCTAGTGGAATTGCAAAGACTGAGTCTTACGCGCCTTCGTAACTAAACTGAAGTGTTAAGCAAATGATCAAAGGAGTACACAGTGCCCCTCTCCTTTTGAGTTTCGTCCCCTTCGGCTCCCCTTAGTCGACCCCTTAGGTTTGCCATCACGGCGCGGCCCATGCTGTAAGGGAATCGCCCACAAACCAGCCTTGCCAGTCATTGAATTTAAGTGGGGCTGAGAAGATAGTTGATTGCAGCGTCACTGATCTCTCCTGGCAGTTCTGCCAAATCCGGACCTCTGCTCTGTTTCGAAACAGCATTAGGGGAAAGAAAAATGTGCTGCTCATCACTGGTCATCGGAAAACTAGCCTAAAAGCAGTCATTTAATAATGGACGGTGTATGAAACAGTTTTGTGGAAATAAGGTTTCACGCTTGCTCCTCCCTACCACTGTGTTCTCACTTTGGTGCTATCCATCCGTATCTATCTATCCGGGCTCTATCCATCCATCAGAGAGATGGAGGAGGTGGGGGTACCGAGTGATCACTTAATTGACATCTTCATGCTTATACCGTAGACAGCTCCGTAACAAACTTTCCCGGTGGCTCACTACTAGTGGCTCTTCATTTGCAATTAACATTTTTGAGGAACATGGGACCGGAGTAGACGCAGGAGGTAGACGCCACTTTCAGTCCTTATGTTAGGGGTCATCACAGATTCTCCCACACGTTGTACATGCCCTTTTTCCGTTGCGTTGAGGTTTGGCATTCAAAATTGGAAACCGGAGTAGTTGTCCGGATAAGATCGGGTTCGCTCGCCGCTGCCATCAGTGTAGCGCCCTGAGACCTCCCTGAAGTCAAACGAAGCTATGATACCAGCGCAGAATATGTACTACCGACGTACAGAAGGGCTGAGGGCTATCGGCATGTGGAACTACAATCGAAAACATTTGTTTCGGAAGTAATGTAATAAAATGGACCTATTATTCACCATATGGCTTGGGGTTTTAGAGAAAGCTGAAAAATGACTGGCTAGTCCAACTTTAGAGGTGTTTCTCACTCCGTTTGTATTTTTCCTACCTAAGGTACAAGAAAAGTGCTGCAAATGTGGACAATTAGTGAGATTCTCGGATCGCATTGAACTCCTGGGAAAAGTATTTCATGAATCCTGCTTTCGGTGTGCAGTTTGCAACCGTCCACTATCGTGAGTTCTCCCCGTGTTGTGTCGATACTTTATATACTTTAAACGCATTTAGAGCGAAGAAATTTTTTCCAACATTTTAAGCGGTTCATGAAGTATAAACCCTCTTTTGTCTATGCATTGTCAGGTTTAATAAAGGTAGTTTTTATAGTAAAAGGTCAATTTTACGTTCTTTTAATAGATTGAGCCTCTCCTGTTAAAATAAAAATATTTAACTTTCTTTTTAGAAATTCTGAAGCCATTTTTCACTCGAATGCGTGGAATTGCGAAGCTCACGCCTCATCCTATCCTCGCTTATACGCCTCTTAGATAAAAATGTCACCAAAAGCATGCTTTCTTTTCCTACCTTCTTGCTATCTGTTCTCTGCACGTGATTGATTGAAGCTGAGGTTATATTTTAAACGAAAAGCGTTAACTTTTAGGCAAAGACTCGGTCTCTTCGAAAGTCGGTAAGTTGCATGAGCGGTCTACTACGCAAGGATTGGGCAAAAAACTTTTTCTTAAGCTTAATGTAGAAGCATCCTAATTTCTTCCTAGTGCTTTGTAAATGGGAAGCTAAAAGGCCTTTGTGCTCATGCACACATGCGGTAATTAACTAGTAGTCTAAGATAGACTGAGTTTCAGTGTAAAAGGTATCAATCATTTTAAATGACATATTCAAAACTAGCTTTAAAATCCAGAAAAGATCCTTCATAAAAATGGCCAGAAAATCAGGAATGACATGTTTGGGCTGTAAACAGCACCATTTACAAAGCCTATCCTACTCCAGACTTTATGTTTTAGGCAAAAAAATGCGAGAAATTTTCAGCCTCTGCAGCTTTGGGTTGGAGCCGGCCAGATTTCGAACTAAAACAACAGCTGCTTATTTCTTTCTCATGTGTTTTAGAATGAGTAGGGGAATTACCAATAAATATGGCATGTTCTATGCCAAATTATAACAAATAAATTAAGGTGTACAATTTGCAGGCAAAACAATCAGACTGACTTCTTATTGGTTGAATTCAGTGTTTAGGCCTTTGATTGGCTGATAGCCAAGCGTGACCTTGCCTCGGCAATTTCGCACCAATCAACGTGCGCAGGTACGAACGGACAAATAATTGATAGCGCCAACCGCCTGGAAAAGACCCTAAAAAAATACCACGATATGTGCTTGCATTCCATTGGCAAGAAGTTATTTTTGTGCTGCCATTCCTCTCCAATGTAGCCCGTGGTCCTGTCCTTTAAGTGATTGAAAGTTGGCACTGAACGTTTGGGCCAATTTGTGTACAGTTTTCACATTAGCGGAAAAAAATACCTCATTTGTAAATGCGTTGAGCAAAAAAGACACTCCTTAGGAATTTTTACCATAAGAATCAGTCATTAATGCTCGACTACGTGTCGCAGTCATCCTAAAGCACACAAAACCAAAAGTCAGACTGCACTGGTAGTTAGAAATGCACCTGATTTCATTTCTCCATCTCATGGGATCTGGAGTGGAACAAAGCTGCAAAATTGACATTAAAGCAGTTGACCTCTTGACCCACAGTCGTATAAACTGATTTTAAATGAAAAATCGACCATACTCTTCTGTGCTCCCTCTAAATCTTAATTGATAAGGATTTATTTGCAATGAACCGCTTCAAGTTTGGCATGAAATTCAGTTGATTTGTCTTGACACTGACTGATTGTCCAGACGTTACTAACAGCGTATACCTGTATACCCTATAAAGGAGGCACGGTCAAATTTGGCCTCGTAGATGAGGTTACTATTCGTAGATCACCTATTTTCAGGCCGAGTCATAAGTGAACAAAAATTTTTTATTTGTAACTATAATAAACCCATTTGCAAAGTCTTCACAACAAACAGACGGTCTCGTATTTTTCACTGCGTGAAGACAACTGCCACATCTAGCATGTCAAATTCTTATCTGATGCTCAGTGATGCTGTGCGACATCTTTGAGGCGAGAAACATGCATCTCCATGCCATTAACGACTAAGAAAGAATTTAATTGAGGCCATGGGTAAATAAGTTGTAACATTTATCGTAATTTTTGAAGGTGATTTGGGATTTTTTGTTTTAATGGTCTTAATAGGTCTTAATTAATCCTGACATTTCTTTCATAGAAAATGTCGCTTCTGTTGAACTGCCGAGTTGATTCTGATAAGCCTCACATCTTATCCTCGATTACTTTGAAATTTACAGGAAAATCAGGTACTTTTTTGCCAAGTTTGTAATAAAAATTGGAACAACAAAAAAAATTGTAGGCATAACCAGGCTTATAACATATCATCCTTTTCCTTAATAGCATAATCAAACTGCAAATTCCACCTTTATCCGACACTTGTTGTCCGTAAATGACAAGAAGACAGCCAATCTATGCCAGCTGCGTCGCTACCCACTTCTACTTCTTAATTGTCCGTTCTGTCTAGCATATGATCATGTGATTGGCCAAGGGCGATGTCACAAAAAGGTGACAAAAACTTTGAAATTGGTTAAATATAGGCAAAAGAATGTGGAGGATAAAAATGGAGTACACCTTCCTTCACATCCTTAAGTGCTGTTCATTTTGTGCACAAGTTGCGTGAGTACCTAGGAGCTAATTGTCCCCTCACCAAAGGAAGCTATAAAAATAACAGTTGGCAGATCTTTAGCTCATCGTCCCTATAAAGTGTGCCCCTTCCACGACTTTTTCCTGCTCCTAGTTGATGCTGATGTAGGCGAACTGACCTGCAGTTGGCAACGTCAATCCTCATCATCAAGATGAGTGCATTGTATCCACCCTGGAGGTGATTTACCATCCATCAACATTTCTGGACGATGGGTTCTGCTACTGTATGCTGTACCTTCACTAGATGCCGCACAAGAACTGTTGGAATAGTCGTATATAACTTCTAGCAAGTTCAGCCAACATTTTGTAAATATGAGGACTTGAAGTAAGAGAAAGATGGCAGAAGCCGCAAGCAATGGCACCGTATTGACAGACTGACGCGGTGTCAATGCCTTGCAAAGCGCATAATAAAAAAGTGGCTTGGAATGCAAGAAGTCAGTGTGGCGAGCCACGTGAGCATTTCGGTCCTCCAGTGTAAAGCGAATACACACCGGGAAGTAATGATGCATACAGTACCACTAAAAAATTTTAGTATCTGACTCAAAACACAAATCTTTCATGTTTTAGAGACCCCTCACTTGACTAAGGTGGTGTTTCGTAAGGAAAGGGAAAAGTTGTGTACCACTTTAGCAGAAGTCAAATTCACCCTCGAAGTCGAATTGGCCCCTACAAAAACTTCAAACAGATTTGCATCTGAAGTGGCTTTTCAATGTCTTTGCTTAAAATTTGATGAATTTGCAGAAATTCATTAACCAGATGTCAGTAGTGAAATAGAAATTGTCTGGTAGAGGATCCATCAAGGAAAAGGTGTTGACTGAATCATCACTGTCAAATTAAGACTCCATCCCGTTGTGACCAGTATGATACCTTCTTCGTTAGAATCCCTCGAAATACAACACACTTTATCATTTATCTACTTATTGGTGTGGGGATTTGGAAAGACTCCATCTTGCAACTGTGTTGAATGGTGGTGATTGCCCCAGCCTGGATTAAGCAGAGGAGCTGATGAACTGTCTACAGAGATGACATGTCCGACGTCTAATGACATTCCAATGATTTAAGAACCCACCTATTCAACCAGTTCATTAAAACTAACGTCGCTTCTATAAGTTAGTGCTCGCAGTCATCAACATTGTTTTCACAAAGCAGGCTGCCTCCCTAATCGACTCAAGACTTCTTAGGTCTAATGATAATATTTTATCCTCTGGAAGGCAACATGCCTGTTAAAAACATTTAATTTTTTGCATTTTTATATGCTCACCTGCTTTTGATTGACAGGTGTACACATGCCCTGGTGATATTGTACAATTGCGCGCTCGAGTCATTGCGTCGAGAAATGAAAAATACAGAATTTTTTGCAGGAGAGAAAACCCGAGAAAGCATCCTTTTCCATCAACTTTTAATTCGACTTGTCCGCGATAAATCAAATTGCTGGTGCACACGTACCTTTGAGACGCAGCCCTTCCAGACATCAAGGTATTGAACGTACTTTCAGCACCTCATCTCTTAAAAAGTAATGCCTCATTGATGAAATCTTGTAATACCTCAGGGCTGTTTCCTTTAAAAACTAAGTGAGTGGACGAATGCTGTTAGCCGCCAAATTGCCTTATTTTGATGCCGCCTTTCAAAGATTTCTCCTGGTTTTGGCATACCCATTCATGTTCATGTCCAATCGTAAAGGTCTTCCAGTTGGAATCAGCCTATGATAGCTCACTTTTTGTACTAAAATAAGGCATGATTATCAGACTATTAATGCGATAAATTTTAGGTGCTTACACACCCTCGGTCATCCATTTTACTTTCTTGAATAAATTATTGCCCAAACCTGGTCCGTAGACATCCGTCTTTTGGAAATAGGACTTCATCCAATCAACTTGAGTTGAAGGAACTTCACGAATATCGTCTCCTTGTTCACCTAAATCTCCTTTATCAACAAGTCCACTAAATTCACCTGAAAATTTCTTTAATACAAATCAATCCCTCATCAAGTATCGTTTGACATCTAGAAAATCCTCTTCATTTTACCAGCACAGACTGTCAATGATAGACCTGTTATCATTCATAAGTTTTGCTTATGCTGGCGTTGCTCTTTTACAGTCTGCCATTTCAATTGCGTCAACAGATTTGTTAATTTATCTGCCTGAATTGTTTTTGTAACAGTTGGACAGCGTTTCCTTTCAGCCGATTTGGACTCTCCGTTGACAGGTCAACTTGCATGCGCATACGCCTAATGTAGCGTCCAGGGTCTATTCCTGAGGTCAGAGGAAGTCATGGGAGCATGACGAATGAGTAATGTGCAGAAGTGCTGAGGTTATTGGTATGACCTGTAAGTACAGTGGCGGAGCCTCAAAGTGCTCGCATAACTGAAACTGAGGGCTTACTTGGGCATCGGCCCCCAGAAAAGAGCCCGCACTTTAAGATACCACTTCGGCCTGCATTCCCTTTTCAAACAAGAGTCATGTTGTTTAAATACAGACCCAGCATTGAACTCTATGACACCGATCCGCACTGGAGGGTTAAGCCTCCATAAATGCTCACTTTTTCTCGCCCTCTGTGTACAGGCAATCGATTTTGCCTGACAAATGCTTTCACTTAACGCCACTTTATGACAAGGTCGTTTGGTAAATGCTTCAGTGCCAATTTTCCCCCAACTACGCAAATTTTTCACCTTGCAAGAAACACATCTTAAAAAGTTGTGCAAACACTCGTGTTTTGAAATAACAAATACAAGCCAAAAAACCGTGGATGAACTACTGACCTTTACAAATTCATGGCAGTGTTTACCCTCCCCTGTTTCATCCTCATAGGTGTCTGGCTGTCAAAACTTATGCCGCGTGCCAAAAACCCACCTAATCATCTTCGCTAAGGGGTTAAATAATCCAAAACATCTTCCTTGAGGAACAAAGTATAAGGAAAAATAAGTTTAGGTAGTAAATATTTCAGCTTGCAATCCATATTTGTAATTTACTCTTGAAGAAGTGTCTTAACCTTCAACTCTGTACTTTTACAGGAAATACCGTAGACGATGACAAAAAGAAGGCTCCAAAGGAATCCGAGGCCCTGAAAGCGGCCAAAGAGGTGACTAAGGTGAGTCAGAACGTCGCCGATGCCGCCTCCGTGGCTGGGGGTTCTGGCGCACGCGCCTCCGACATCCGCAACCGCTTTGAAAGGGGCGAGAATTTTCAGGAGGCTGACAAATCAAAGGAGGTACGTAAACGCAAGACAAAGCTGAAGTACGCCGGTGTGGGAAGCATGAAGGATAAGTTTATGCAAGAGGCAGCACGTGCGGTGAATGGATCGCAGGATGGACAACCACGCAAGTTGAAGGAAATCACACCGCCCAGGGAGGGTGTCGCTGTGGGCGTGTTGGAGAGTCAACCGACAGCGAGACCGGAAGGTGTGGAGGGCGCAGACACCGGGGAGAGCACAGTGACGGACTACATTGGCATTGGAAAGAAGACAAAGGATATGCGAGAGAGATTCAAACGGCTTGAGCAGACTGGCGGCGTGGTGAGTGATCAAAAAGTATCAGGAATTGGGGGTCACAACAAATTCTCACCTGAATTGCCAAGCTAGTATTTCCTTATCAGTATGTTTGCTCAGTAAAACATTTTTAGTATCCCTACTCAATGGTGAGTACCATTTTAAGTTCCAATAAAGCTTTCAAGAGTTTCAGACCAGAAGAGTTATATGATGATGTAACCGAGGGAATTTTGCAACTCTTCACTTCTGATTGTGTTGAAGGGGCGGAGTTGCTGAAACACCCAAAGACGCATTTGACCGATATAAGCACGTTGTTATTACTTTTTACCTCAAAATGAAAACACTCGAGAAGTATTATTAACATTTTTTGCCTTAAGCATGAAGATCCCGTTAACACCTGAAAAGGCATTTGGCAGCTAAGAGGATGTGGATGATTATCACATTTAAAGTTGTTCCACCTTGCTATTTTGACAGCTATATTAGAACACATCGTTGCATTTCGCGGACATCTATGCCGCCTGTTTTTTGGCCTATTATGACTTAAAGCACCTGTTTAGACATTCGAATGGCACCCATTTTTGCGTAGTAGAGTAAGAATTAAAGAAATTAGTGCTTGAATCGCCTAAAACAAATGTTCGGAGGCAGAATTATCATACCGTCAAATTGCTTTGTCATCTTTTTTTTTTAAAAATACAGCTGGTCCTCAGGTGCGTTAACTATTAAGACATGGCAGTTCCCGAATGGCATCATGCCTTGCACCAGTCGGTACACAATTGCGGTTCTATTAGGAAATCAAATTGACATTCCTGCAGGATTGGATGGTTAAGAAATGCTTGTAAAGAGGAGGAAGAAAGGCGGAAGAAGTGAAGCTCCTGTGGGAAGTACCCCAAACCTAATTGCCACATTAACCCCAGACAGCCCTCCAAATCGCATTAGTCAGGCCCAGGCGCACAAAATTTTTTAAATCCCATGACTAAATTTAAATGCCCTTTTTCGGCCACTGATGCAAAGCTTCCCTTCTTGGAATTTTGTCTTCTCAGTTTCTGATTTTCACTGCAGGTAGAGGAAGAAAATGGGGAGAAAAAACCCGTAGAATCCGAGGAGCTCCGTCAAGTTGCAACCGAGGCTACTCGCTCTGCAAAAGCGCGGTGGAAGGACATTGAATCGGGCAAAGTGGAGACAAAGATAGAAAAGACAAAGATCGATCTGGGCAACAGCGTGAGTTGTGTCCGCAATTCTGATTGGCTATTGGTTTTGCCTCGTTCTTCCTCATTCGATGGATGGAAAAATGCAGATAGGTAAGGAAAAGCAGAACCCGAGTAAGGAGGAGATGAGAAGAAGTCAGCTGATGGTATAGGTTTAAGAACCTAGCTAATAAGGCAAAAAATGTAGCGAGCCTTTCGTGGGTAGCTTAAGCCTAATGAATCTGACCTTAAAGTACTCCCTTCTTATTCTCTCGGCATTGTAGCAATCTTGGAAGCATGTACATTCGGATCGAAATCGGTCACCACAGTCCAGAGGGTTTATAATTCTGATATGATGCAAATTGTTAAGCAGCCTGCTTTTTGTTGAATGTCACATGTATGTGATATACGGGATCACGTGGGAACTAGAAGCATCAAATTATCACATTTGCGTAACTTGTTTGACAAATGTTCTTCGTTTAAATGAGATTGTCTCCTTTTGCAGCGAATGTTGGATTTAAATCTCCCCTCAAATCTAGTCATTATTACTGGTAGGCCTTCTGTATTCGCTTAAATCATTACGCTTCTGCTTTTGCAAGTCAAGTCCTGGGCTCATTCTTTACCACTTGCTAGCATAGCTCTGGCCAGGCGGTCATGCAGATCGCTTCACGTCCGCCTATTTTTGGACCTTAGTCCCAAACTGGACACATTCTGGTCAGACTTTCTGCCTTTCTGATCCCATTCGCAAACTCGTTTCAGAGTCGTCTTCATTCCATAATGATGACTGATACAAATAACAAGGATAGAGTTAATTGGATGGCATGTCCAGTCACGATCAACCTATTCTATCTAGGGAAATGTGAAGGCAGGGCAATTCTCTAAAGGTCCATCGGAGATTTAATCACACTTTACTTTGCTTCGGGAAGATTTAGTAAGCTGGAGCGGTTATCATTGAACAAGAGTGTCAATTTACGCAATTCCCCAAAGAGTATAATTTTACTCCACTTTTTAAATTACTATGCTATACCATACATAAAGGTTAAAACAGGCTACAATACATCAATGAATAAAGGCAGGTAAAATTAATCTCTTTGCCGGCTGCCGAATAATGGGAACTAACGTTTTACTTCATAGCTAATGGCTATGCCATTTATTCTTTTCATTTCATTTTTTGTACTTTAATCAAATTGAATGCTTATTAGAGATTACATTGTTTATGAATCAAGTGGTTCCAATTTTTTCGGTAATTTTTGTTTATCAAAAGATGGAAAAAAAACTAGTATAACAGATAAGATGCAGAGCATCTTTTGTTTGACCAGATTAAAGTGAGAAATTCACAGGTGCGTTTTTTGCATCCTGCATCGGTTGTGATAGTGCGTCCGACCCTCGTATGCACACATCGTGGTGTCGGCGATGCTGATAAGCCTGCAGCGTCCAGCTCTGATTTGTTATCCAAATCTCCCAAACTTCAAGTCCCATCCTCATGTGGAGCTTATGTTTCGACTCGCTGCTGAAAGGAATTCCATATTTCCATTCATTGCTTTCTTTTTTTCAAGGAGCTCTCTTCAAATTGCACGAGAGAGAAATTTTTGATTTCATGTCTCACTGCATGTCGATGCTGCCAATAACGCTCTTACGTTGATTGGTTACTGTGTCTCTGCCTTCTCCTTTCTTTCTCCTTTGATTAGTCCATTGGATGTATTGACCAATCAAAACTCGCCTTAATATGACTACAGAAAAATTCGTTTGTAACACAATCTTTATTTATTTCTTTTGTGTAGTCTCAAGGTGGAGTCTACGAGAATGAGCCAGATAGTCTGCTGGACATTGCGCGGAGTGAAGAGAGGGATGACGCAGCCCATCTAGTTGTTACCACAAGTGCGGCTGAGAGGAAAAATGCCTTCCTCAAGAAGGCCACTGAGGAGAGCAAAGTTAAGCGTCTCGATCCTAAGGTTGGCCTTTTTGAAAGATTATGTTATAAATTTTGGGGTCCTAAACTTGTCCTTTTTCAACACTTAATGAATAAAATGTTTTAACAAAGGTGAATTGGATAGGGGGTCAAAGTATTTTGCGCTCGAATATCAAACGATGTATGTGATTCTATCGAAAAGTACATCCCTTTTGTACTACAAGCTGTTTACACAGCATTTGGTAGTTCGTGATTGCAATTCACATAATCTGATACATTAAGAGAAAGTTGCACTAGTGCTTCCTTTCAATTACATTCCAATATGTCAGTTTTAAAGAGTGACGAAAATGTCACTTTGCTTCGCAGAGATTCCAAAAACAGTCTCTGTGAAATATTGGGGATGGTATAGACCTCCAAGATTGTTGATGTGTATACAGCAGTACTCGATGGACAAGACAGGAATGGGACCACCTTCCCACTTCTTACTAGCTGTGTCCGTTTCTCCAAAAGAAAACGTTTTCGTGTACACATCCCACTGACACCACATCTATACAGTACAAGAACGGATTTTTAAGGGTGAAGCGTTGAGCAGCTCTGAAGCGTAAGGTTTTGGGTGAGTGGATCAGCTGCAAACAGCCATCGACATTTACGTCTGTTTAACAATCACTGGAATCTAAAAGCTATTTTTACTGTACATCGGTTGGTCGGTCGTTTAGTCAGGTAGTCGGTTAGCAGTCTACATTGCATGATTTTCAAGCATCTACACTACGTAAAATTTACTTCGAAAAAGCAACTTAAGGGGTGAATTTTTTTTTGACGGCGACTACTTGCTAATTTATTTTTACAATGAGCGACTCGAAAATTAATAACCTTGTATGAAAGCTATGCAATACCAGGTGGCCTGTGATTAATTTACATAGACCTGTAAGGTTCAGGGTGTTTTTTCTATGCATGCATTAATAAACATGGATAAAAATGTCCTTCAATCACCCAATTATGTGCTTTGTGGTATTGTTTTGACACTGCATGAAATCCTGGGTCATATCCACAAAGCAAATATGACTCTGTATTTTATGCTTTACGAACCACCTTTACACAAATTCCAAAGGTGCAGAAACATTTTGCAGAACTTTTTGCATTTAGGGAAAGTGGAACCTGCAATAGCAGAACACAGTGCCCATTTGTGATGGTGAATCATTGAAGGCGGGTGATGTGCTGTTGTAAAATTACACGGCTTAGCGGCAGCAACTGGGCCTCACTAGGTTAGACCCACGACGAGGGTGGAATACGAAATTCATCTTGCATAGAAGCAGTCGTGACAGCATCAGTGAAACAAACATCAGATTCAGTCTAATGTCATGTGCACTGGAGCATATTTTACCAAATGTAAGAGCTCAAAATGTCACGTATTGTGGACTGTTTGCTGATCGACCGACCGACGTCCAATGACTAATGACTTTTGTAGTCCATCGTTGTTAAGCAAACGAAAATGTCATTGTTTATTTGCAAACGATCCACCCACCAACCCCTCTAACCTTCGATGCTGCTCAACACCTCATCACCTGAAATCTGTGCTTGCGCTGTGTGCATGTGATGGACTTGGAGAATCGTTAGTTCACCACGTGATGTTTACCTGCTGCAGACCAACACTCGCTGATTTCCAGCCGAGATCTGGACACTCGATAGTGCTAGGATTTGTGCAAGAATAGGAGCAGACAGGGCTGATAAACCTGTTTTTACAGGCTAATGCGATATCACATGTTGCGTAAGAGATCGTACCTTACTTTGGAATAGCAGTGAAGTGCGTAGCTCCTACCTCATGTTCACCTCATCCATCTCATTTTCCTAGCGATATTGCTCCAAGTGATGATTCCTGGAATAAGATAGGTTGAGGTTATTCGCAGCTTCTAGAGTCAGAATGCTTGTTTCACTGGTACAGGGCGATAGATTACTCGTGGTACTTTCAGTAAAGCCTTCTGAAGGTGTCCAATTCCTCTTAAAATACAAAATGCATGATCACATCTAGGACTCAGGTAGGTAAACAGTTTAAAACTACTTCCTGACGAATAAAAATTACTTAGCATATATCTATTCTTGCTCTGAAATTCTACGTTGATTGAGGCTTTGAAGGATAATTAATTCATAAATCTCTTTGACAAATAAGTACTGTTATCAGATGAGAACGAGCAGTTCCAGTTTACTTTTACTTAAGTGCGTGCTCTTAAACCAAAAATAGTTCAACAGTTAATCAGTTAGCCTTTCCTAAAAATTTATTCGCTGTGAGGTTTGTCAAGTTAAGACGGAAGTTAGAATAATACTTTTGGATGAATGAACATTTCTAAACTGCATGATAGAAAAGCTAGCCACCGGTTTTTTTCCGTAGCGTTTGTCAAATCGTAGAATCCAATATCTTAATCGGGATGTTAGTCTGATAAACGTGGAAAGCTGCAGAATCTTTTCAGGTGAAGGATTAGCTGATGAATAAAAATAACCCATTTTCGAGTTACGTGCATTTATTTAAGTAATGCGGCCAGTTCTAGACTCCCTTTTGCCGAATGGGCGCCTCAAACTTAGGCCGCTTTCAAAGCAGAAGCAAATTAGGCGTTTTTTTTGCACCTTTAGGCCGAATTGCAAGAACTGGCGAGTAGAGAGAGGAATTCGATCTACGAGAGCACACCAGCAGCCCGGCCAGAGGACGTAGTCACAGCAGACTCCGGTGTAGATGACTACCTGAATCTCTCAGGTGCGAAATCCATTCGGGAGAAGTTCCAGGACCCCAGTAAACTACAGCGTGAAGTGAAGAAAACAGTGAGTTCTGCTGCTACAAGAGCCATTATGCCATCCTCAGTTGCATGTGTGTTCAGGTCAACTGGAACTTTTGAGGTCATCCAATAATTAACCCCAATTAATGATCCCATCTCAGCATTAAATAATGTCTAAAAAGGCCTCATAGACAAAGATTTATTAGTGTGGTTTAGTTATCCTAATGCATCCTGTTTCACCTTCCCTGCCTTGATGCCCAGCTTGAGGTAATTATTTACAAACTTGACTGTTTGTAAGTGATTATGTTCATTATTTCCATGGGATGACTAGTCTTTGGTGTGATTCCGGGACGAATGTTGTGTTTATCAGGTGTCCAGAACCAGTCAAACGTTTTGCGAATTAAGTGATTGCAGAGATGGCCGCTTTAGACCGCAAACCATTACAGTCAAGATCATCATTGACAAACGTCAGGTCATACTTGAAACGTTGACACTACGTAGTAGTGAGAGAATATATAAGATTCAAGCCTTTACTGGCTAGAGGGTTCATACATATGCTCATTAACGCTTTTTTCTACCACCTTGGTTAGCAGCTTAAGAATTGGTCTGTTACTGCCCTCCCATGGCTGTGAAATTATAAGTCCCGTTTTGACTTGAACGCACCTGTTTTACCCCTGCTCTTTTTCTTACTTTCCTCTTATCCGCATTAGACGATTGAGCTTCGAGGAGAAGGTGGAGTTTACGAGAATGAGCCCCGGCAGCGCGATGATGTCATTCGAAGTGGTGACGTGGATGATACACCTACTCCTGGAGATGTGAAATGGGCTTCCGCGGCTAAAGAACGCTTCATGAAGGACGCTGAGGAGCGAGCAAAAGCGGTGAAGCGAAATGAGGTGAGTTAACCGTAGCCAGAGGAAGGATGAACTATTCACTAGTGGTAGTTAGCAGAGTAGTTGAGATGTGCCTTTGTGGCAGTTTAGAGCCCTTGAACTGACATTTGCGGTTGGTGAACTCTAACTGCATAAAAGACACCTAGGTAGATCCGAAATGAAGGGAATAATTGATGAAGGAATTAAAAAGATTTATGGAGAGTAACCATTACCCGCATTTTTTTCAATGTCCCTGTAGAAAATTGTCTTGGTGGAGGGCGCGGTGGGACCGACAGTGTTCGAGAGTCAACCCACCAATTCTGCTGCAGACGCGAAGGCGGATCAGGATGAAGATGAGCAGTTGGTGGGCGCATTTGCCTCCAACGCCAAACAGCGCTTTCTCGAGAGGCAGAAGGAGGCCGAAGAGGCTGGCAAAAAGAAGGCCACTCCAGGCATGGTGAGTCAACTCCATCATCGTCTTGTTGTGCTGTTCCGTTTTCTCCTACAGTTGTCGTAAGGCCTACGAAACAAGAGGGAGCAGTGGCATCAACGTACAGAAGGACTGGGGGACTAGCAGCATAGGTACCGCATAGGCAGAAATTTATACCACCTATCTGGATAAATCACAGTGTGTAAGGTAGTTCGGTGTCGAGTCTCCAGGTAATGGCAATTAATTGATAATAATTTTCTTCTGGCTATTTCAGAAGTACTTTTACAGCCCTTTTTTATTCGTTAGAGTATGGCGACAGTTTGATAGGTCTCAAAATGGAGGTTATGGTCCATAGTAGACGAAATTTGGTAAACTCAAATGCCCCACTTCTAATGACGTCTTTACGGAATCTACAGAGAAGGGAAGGCAAAGTTGTTGTCCCACCGAAGTTGATGCCCTAATTCTGCCACCACTATCATGTCTGAGGTCATGCAAATAGGTTTTGAGGTGTAGGAGTTTGAAAGTATCTTCACCAAAAACTTACCAAAGAGCGGAATAACTGGTAGCACAGGCACCTGTGAGTTACTCTCTGGGTTTCAACGCTTAAACAATCGAGGTTTTTTCATAATTGGTGTTGGTCCCACACCTATAATTCCCTGCTGTTCCAGAAAAAAACTTTAGAAAGCAAACCTTTTATTTTAATTTTAACCAATTTTCTAGGATTAAGTTGTACCTCATTTTTCCTTCAGCAGCGTAGGTCACTTGTCAGAGTCCACATTGCTGTAAACACGTATTAGCTGTAAGCGTTATGGAACCCTCAACCTCTCATAACATTTTTCATAAAACCATAAGGGTCATTTATCAAGATGGAGGAAAGTGCATTCCTGGTTCCATTTCTGCCAACCTTTGAGAAGTCAAAATATCAAAGCATTCGGTGGGTGACGTTGAGTTCCACGTCTTCTGTCCAGTTGTCGAATTCCTCTAAAAGACACCAAATCAAATTTGTACGAATAGGCAGAATGGCTAGAGAAAATGAGATATTTTAGCAGTATAAGTGACGGACTTCTGCACAAAATAATCGGAATATTTTTCAAAAACGTCACTTTTACAAGCATCTAATAAATGCACCATCAGCAGTATTCAATATTCCCCATATTTCATATTCGTGGCTAGAAAAGAATGACTAGAGGAAGATATCTTGTAGTGTACAATGTTGGGACTCACAAATAACCAAAGTTTCATTAACGATTACGGTTTGCCGCCCTTTTGGGACTCTACAACGTCTGTCCAGTCACGGGGTTCGTCCAGTCCGACCCCTCGTCGCCTTGAAAGGTACATTCAAACAAACAACTTCTAAAATTACTACGCCCAGCATTTACCGAAGGAAAACCTTTATTTTTGTAGCTATCTCGGTAAGCAAAATGTTTCGTCGAATTCCTAGGCATTTTACGGAGAGACTTGGTTTTTTACAATTCACTGAATTTTACATGTTTTCTCTGCCCATTTCCACCATTTATCTACGGAAATGTCTGCTATACTGCGATCGCATAAAATTTTACTATTATGAACAAACTTACCTATTCAAAGTCATAGGTCAAATTGCTTTTAGGTAGAGGGGACGGCATAAATTACCCGCATTATTTATTGGCTCTCCTTATCCATCAACTACCTTTGTTAAGCGAAGCAACACGTCAAACCTTGTTCTGGCACTTTTAAGATGATCAATAGAAATGAACAAAAAACGAATGGCATAGTTATTGCGCCTGTAAATAAATAAATGAATAGATTTGGTGGGCATTTTTATGGAAATGTCTGCGAAAATGTGCTGTAGCACTTTCAATCCGCCCTGGAGTAGTGACAAGCCATAGCAGGATGCAGAAAGATTTGTTGCTAAAGTGTGCAAAATTCGGACTTACAACCATGCCACCAAGTGGGAATAAAAACAGGAATAGTGGGGGTGAATATGAGCAATTATGCATATGAGTAGATTTTAAGTTACTATTGAACCATTTACTGAATTCGCCCCATTTCTTACTGTTGTTTTGTGGATAATGCCTTTATTTCGTGAAGAGGATGTTGTCATTTCTGTTACATCTTGATCAAATATGTATATCATGCAGTGCTATCACCAAGAAACTTATCTAATTTCTACATAGCCAACTAAAAACGCAGTTAAAAAAGGTGGCAAGCAATACGTTTTGATAAGATTTGTGGAATAGAGGCTTTCACTTTTGATAAAATTTATGCCCTTTGCCATCTTTCGTTGTACTTCCAGAGCCCAATAATTATTTTGCAACAAGTATTGCGACCCACGAGTCTTTCCTTAACTCGTAAGAAGTCATAGTAGCATGGCAGAAAATGGATTGCCGAAGTAGAGAAGTGTTGAGGGTTACTGGCCTGGCCACCGTGCGGATGTACAATGTACGGGAACTTAAGTGCCCGCGCAATCAAACCAAGAGTTAAGCAGAATTATAAAAACTTCTTTACAAGCAAGAAATGAGTTCGTCCAAATATGAGTATAACCTGTTTTCGGTCGAGCGAATAACATTAATTTCGATGTTGATTATCTAACTCAATGTCACCTCACAGTAAAAGGCCATATTCATATTTTAAAATTACAAAAATGATGACATGAAAACTAATATCGGTACTGATGCTTTGATTCCTTCTACTTACTTCAATCTTTAATAGATCGACATTTGGAGTGAAATGCCAAAAGAAAGTGGCGTATTTGAGAACGTGCCTGCTGCACGCAAGGAGGGTATCATTGTCTCCGGCATGCACTCAGACGATGAGGAGGAGGATGAAGAGGATGAAGAAGACTAAAACGTCCAGTCCCATCCTCTGTGTATATGCAAGTGCGTGCGGATGCGTGTTCAGGCATGGTAGCATTGCTCGTATCGGAAGAAAGTGCGCTGCTCTTATTTTCGCCAGCCAGATATGAGCTACTTTCCCACAGATGAGGCTTCCCTTATTTCCTCTTTTTGACACTTTCTCTCTTTTTCTTTGTCTGCCTGTGTTTCATTGTGTCATGGAGTTTCTGTCAAAGTGAGTCAAGAGAAGTGACAGCTTTGCCTTTTATATCCCAAGTAGGGCTGCGAGTTGCTTTCGTGGTGGTGTAACGCTCGGAATTGAGGGCCTTTGGTGTAGGCAACTGTAGCAGCCCCAGACTTCCCTGAAGACGAAAGAAGACAATACTTGGGTAGAATATATATTTAACACAGGAAAGGTATTTGGGCTATTAGCATGGCTTTAAGGCCACCCCACCCAGAGAGGTACAAGAAGGCTAATTCAAAGTACAAAGTGGCGCCTCACCAATATCGAGGGATAAACCACCATCTTATTGCACAACTTAATAGTAAACACCATTGAATTGCAGTGATAAGCCAATTCCTTTGCGGACGCAAAGGGTTAGGACTGTTTTCATTGCAATTATTTATAAACTCAGAAGCATTCAGTTTACAATTTATGTTAACCTTGTAAAAAGCTCATATAAAGCTAACTTGCTATACGTTTAAGGGCAAAATTATTAAAATTCGGTATTACGCAATGTTAACAGAATTAGATCCTATTTTGTTAGAATTAGGGTTACATCTGGATTCTGTTTTATAAGTGTTGGGGCTGTCATTAATAATGCTGGTGACCTTGAACGAAGTAATTCAACGTGTGTGAAGCAGTGAGCTTTCTGAGCGTGGGGTGTGAAATAACCTTGGGTAGATTACGGAAACATGTCATGACTTCAGGGGCCTGTATTATTATGATGGGCTGTGAAATAATGCAGTTTTTTCACTAGTTGAAAACTTGGGGCCGTATTGTGTAGGAAACGTCCGAGACCATTTAATTGCAGAATAGCTATGTGGACGACGATTAACCGCCTACTTGTTTCCATCCTAGCTCAACTATGCTTGTCCAACACAAGTCTTATAAACCAGGGGATTTGATTTGGTCGGAAGAGGCTCTCGTTTGTGCACTTCATGTTGACTCAAGCCCACAATACTGTGCATACTGTTTGCTTTCAGTCAGTCAGCAACCACTCTTACGCTGTTCCAGATGTAAACACGTTTTCTACTGTAGCAGAATCTGTCAGAAATCCCATTGGTGCTCACACAAGCAGGAGTGTGCTTGCATTGTCTCTAGTGGTGCTTTTCCCGGTGCCACTATCAGACTTCTCTTCAACATTATCGTTTCTAAGGTGAGATAATCCCTAGTGTGCCATCAACTTCTCTTTAGGTTTATAAGAATTATCCGTTTTTTGAATTGCTTGTCTCTCGTAAGTCCAACCTACTTAGCCTCTATGTATCCCTAGATGTTGAGGAGTTAAACGCCAACGATGAGACCAGACTAATGATGGAACAAGCTTACGCCATGCTAATGGTGTTTTCGAACCAAAACATAAGTATTTCTAAATCATGTTTTTTCCGTCTTTTCGGGAGAGTTAAAATAAACGCCTTCCATTTAACAAGTGAGTGTGGAGATGAGATTGGTGTCGCCTTGTTCGAGAGGTTCGTATTTCTGCCCTTTTATTCCTAAAATCGGATTTGCAGATCTTCCAAACTGGACCACTCCTGTTTGCCCAATGCGGATTTCGCTTTCGTTGGGAAACGGATAAAAGTCATTGCAACTGACGAGATACTTGATGCATCGCAGGTTAGTCCCACCTCAGCCATAAGCCGTCTGCCTTTCCTACAGATACGAATATCTTATGTAGACCTTTTGATGTCGATGAAAAGACGTCAAGAAGAACTCTTCAATGGGTACCTTTTCCACTGCAATTGTCCTCGCTGTTCTGACCTTGAACAGGTAGGGGATTTCGAAACCAGATTGGACTTGTGATAGGACTTCGACACTCGAATTCCTCCGTGCTGTGGGCGGCGTATGAGAGGTTTAAAGGCCGATGCATTAGAGCATCAGGAGCCTGTTTCCTGGCCATCGGAGGCGAATGCTTTTCTGCCTAACCTGGCCAAGTACTCAACCGTTGCGCCAGAGGAGGTCTACGTCTGTGGGAAGTGTCACAGATGTTACAGCGCCGCCGTCTTTGATGCCTTGGAGTGTCGGTGTTATGAGATTAACACACTTAAAGGTATTGATTTTTGGAATTTAGCTTAAATTAAGCATGCGTTAATGGGTTGCGGTCGGTCTTATTTGTCATTAAACAAATGAAAGACTGTTCAGGAAACCCTGATTCTTTTCACACATTCTTCCAAAAAGTGTGGATGTGGGAAGAGAAATTTGTCAGATCTTGGTGCGCCGTACGATAAATTCTGTTCGACAAACTCACTGATTGATAGTTTAGTGAATAAGTGTGCACTTGTACTAGAAAAAAAATAGAGGCACACTTCTATGACCCAATCTCGGTTTCCTTTACAGACGCCGTCGGGCTCTACAGAGCTTGTGCTGCAGCTGCTAACACGGGTAACAATGAATACCTGCATCTTGTTTACAATCACCAAGGTAGCCTTCCCCTTCTGCGTCTCTGCCGTACCATGGTAATGACCTACAGGGTGGACGAAGACAATTTGAATGGTATGTTATAAGGCATATGAATCTAGAAGCAATTTTTTGCCGAAACGCGGAAGAGTTCCTGGATTGGTAACTTAGAATTGAGGTAAACATAGGCTTGTGCCTTTAGAATGGAGGTTGGAATGTGGACTCCAGAGACCTCCGTTCTATTTTGAGTTTCATTCTTAATGGTCCCTGTGATGGAAAGTGAAATCAACTGTTAGGCGTGAATAAAAATCGAGCAAAAATTCAATACACTTCAGTGAACATCATATTACGAGCATGTTTATTGGGTTTCTTTGGATATTTTTATGTGTGAACACGAACATCGTTGTGATCATAACCGGATGCTCCATGAAGACAGGGACTGCAGAGCAGGAGTCTTTACTGTCGACGACCTGCGTGATCGGGTGTTCACTATTTGCGCAACTATCTTTTCCAATGGCCCTGACCTTAACGTGAATATTAGTATATCTATACTGTATCCCCCAAGTCATATTGATGAGTCAGGAGAAAGTCAGCGAATGTGTGAATTTAGGAGTCCTTTTAAATATTTGGAAATGAGGTGCGAAACATCTGAGTTTTTAAAGCGTCGCGAATAGGTATTCAATTTATTACGTCCGGCTATCCTCAACGTGGTGTCAGTTTTTCCAAATCTGTCAACGATTTTTGGAGTCTGACGGTTGTTTTACGCAAGTACTAAAGGCTAGTGGTGTAGGCCATATTAACAATGTTTTATGTCACCGTGATGGAGGCCGAATAGCAAGAGGCTAAAAAGTTGGAACATCTGCATTTTATTTTTCTCATCGCGATGGAATCTCTATGCTATAAGACGCAGAAATTAGGCTAAAGGCGTGAAGGATTTGAGTGGTTTCACACGTTATCTTCAGGTGAAGGGCTGGACCCGAGCTAGCGCAAATTAGTAGAACTCGTAAGCACTTTCGTTTTAACCATAACCCATTTAAGATTCCGTTATCTACGAGTGGGGCTGCAACAAATGAAAGATCACTACCAGTCCCATATAATCTCTCCAGGTGGAGAACTCGATTTGATGCTGGAAGTGGGTCTCAGACTCGCCAGATGCTTTGATTCCGTGGCTGCGAAGTACCACAGCTTCCATGGCCATCTATTTGTCTGCAGTCTGGTCTGTGCGCTTCTCGGCCTTCTCGGATCCGTCGTTTCCGCAATGGAGGCTCACCTTTCGCTGAGTGGTGGTGGCGGAGACGATATCAGCGGCGTCACGCTGGAGCGATTAGAGCACTTCTCGGCGGCTTTTGTCCGCACTGCAGTGGCCTTCGCACCCTGTATCAAACGTTTTGCACCCCATCTGCCAGGTGTGTCGGAGCAGTTGCAGCGGTTGAGGTGCTTTGCAAACAACTTGAATGTACAGATTTAGACCTAGGAGGAAGTAGGCAACCAATTCGGTTTTTTTATTTTCGTGAAGTCAAAGTAGTGTTATAGATAGTTTTATTCACTTAAGAGGGTTTACAAGTTGGCAGGTGAAACAGGGTAATATCCAGCTTCGTAGATCCCAGCTCAGTGTTGTTGTTTTGTATGATGCCGGAAGGGGGTATGTTAAGTGCTTTCTCGCTGGTGGTTAATGTTAGGCTTGGTGATTTGCCCAGGCTATCGAAGTATGTGGGTGGTTAATTCCTTAGGGGCGGATTGAGTCCTATGGTCGTACATCACCATCATAGCTTTGGGAATAATGACAGGAAAGCGGGGTTGGAACTCAGTAACGCTGGGGCTGGGGAGTGTCACCTGCTTGACTACTTGAGCTGGAGGTTTAATGGTGTGGTCCCCGGCAGTTCAGCATGTGGGTTAAATTACTATAAAAAAGTTATTTAGGGGGCTGGATTCAATATATTGATGAGACGACAAAGGGGTTGGTGTTTGGGAGAGTAACGACGCAACTATGCTTTAGCATACCAAATAATCCCAAAGGGCAAGTAGACTTGACTTTCCTGCTAGGTAAAATTCTAAAAATTGCCACACTAATAAATTTTTAAATAAGTCAAGCCTAAATATTCGATGCTACTCATTCTATACATTTAGTAAAGTGCGTACTACCTAATTTTGAAGTGCTGCTAAGGATTCCTTTAGAATCTGGTCATTTAGTGTCGCATTGTTTTAATCGATCTGTCTGCTCGGAGGCGAGCTAGAAAATGGACTCAGGTGCGTACTTGTGCTCCTTAATCTGGTCATCGTTTATATGCAAGACTTTTTACTGAACATTATTATTTGCATTGCTTCTTGTCCCTAATTAGCCACTCTACGCCTTGCGTCCTTCTGTAATGAGAGTTATTGGTAGGGTTTCTTGCACAAACCGACTTGCTAATTTATCGGCAATAAAGGAAAAAACCTCAAACCTTTTCATCCTTTGGCCTATTTGGTAACTTCCTTTTTGTCTGATTGCTTCATAATTAACCCCTGGTCTTACACTGACCAGTCCTGTTTTCTCCCTTACCTAAATGTTATAATAGCTTCAGCGATTGCTCAAGTTTTCATTGCACAGATCATAGCCTCTTCCTAATGCACTATTTTTGGTGGGGAAATTTGTGGTCTACTTATTGGGTGTTAAATTAAGCGGCTGTCATGGAATGCTGCTTGAATCCCTAAAGATGTGCATTTTCTGCTCCAGATTAATGCAGTGGTGCAAATTTAACGTGGCTAGAATAATAATCTAGCCCCTATGGTTGATTTCGTCGTGTAATTACTGGAAAAGATTTTTAGGCGCAACTAATTGGCATGTAGTTATTTTTATAGCACTAATTCGCTATTATTTTTTGCTAGAAATCCCCCCCACTGACCGCAAAACGAAAAACGAAGGTCCCGGCCTTTAAGTTCGGAGGCTCAGCGCCGAAGAAATAAGATGCGTCGAAGAAACGTAAGCTTCCGTATTCAACACCTCCCTCACAAACCCTTTCCTTCCATTTCAGATCGACATCGGCGATGATTCATCAGGGAGTGCCACTAAGCGACGAACTGCCCGTGTTGTCAAGGTTAGTTTTTTTTCTTTTCCAGTTTATCGTAATAAATCCTTTCAGGAAAAGACCTTGGAGCAGCTTTGTGAGGAGCTAGGTGTGGAGGATGTGGAGTTGACATACTCCACCGATGACTTCGAGAATTGGACGGTTCAGAAGCTTTTTAATCAGTACGTGCAGCCTCTAATCGTGGAGAAAAACCCGCATGTGCCAAAGGAGCACATTGTGCAGATTTTGGACGCCAAATGGAAGGAGTTTGCCATAATGAACCCCTACATTCCCAAGGGGGAAGAGGGTACGTTCTCCACTCGCGCGAACGTTTTAGTGACTTGATTTAATCTCTCGTTTGTTCATCTGTATGTAGAACCTTTGATGAATTGCCCCGCGTCAACTGTAGTCAAAAAAGGTCAGCAGTAGCAGCAGTATCAACATCTCTGGTTAGCTCTCTTAACCTTCCCCTCCAACTGTTTCGCTTTTCCTTCCCATAACTCGCGTTCCATGTTTCCGCTTCGGTATTTGTTGGCTTGTTTGTGTAACTTTGGTACATAACTCATCACCTCTTTTCCACCATTTCCCTCTGTTCCAATATCTTCCTTTTTCATCGTAGATCTCCCAGATGATGAGGAAGAAAGTAGCACTCTGGTAGCTCCAAGCGGCAGTTTCGGGGTGGAGGACGAGGCTGAGGCCGAGGACACGGAGAGTACAGTGGTAGTGACTCCCGTCGCCCCTGCTGTACCGCGCCGTGCCTCCTCCCGCCATCTGAGAGCTGCAGCGGCGGCGGCGGTGGTGGCGACCGCAACGGCGGCTTCAGTGGGTGGTGGCGGAGGGCCGGCAGTGGTATCGCCAGTGGCACCGACAGAGCTCCCGGGCGAAGGCGGTGAGATCAGTCAGTCTTCGCCCGCCTCCTCAGCTGCAGCCACTCCCGCCTCCTCACAAGCTGCACCGTTAAGGATTAAAATAAGCAAGAAGAAGAAGCGCAAGGCTCCTGGAGGTAGAAGCGGTGGTCGTCGTAGAGAGGTGAATAGTGGTTGTAAGGGGATCCAGAATGTGTCATTTGCCTCATCTGATGCGGTTTGCTTTTGTTACCTTCGCGTCCCGACAGGGTGGTCGATTGGTGGGTGATAACACGAGTGACGAGGAATTTGAACGCCAGCTGGAGGAAGCAGAGGCCTTTCAGGAGGAGGAACAGAAGCGACGCAAGCAGCAGCGCAGCCTAAATGCGCGTAGAGCTGCGGCCGCGGCTCGGGTCTCTGCCACGGCAGCAACGGGGCAGATGCATGTTAGCGCCTCGGCACCGAATCTTGCTGCCAGTGCTAGTGGAGTAAAACGTAGCATCATTGCGCGTGTGCCACTTATGGGCGGAAATAGACAGGCAGAGGATGGATATGAGACGGATCACCAGGATTACTGTGATGTTTGCCAACAGGTGAGTCTCCTTTTTTGGTATCGAGGTCGTCGTATCATTCCGTCTGCGAAAGTAGTGATAACCATACTAACATACTTGAAGCTCATTTAATTAAATGGACTGGAATACTAATGCCTAGTTTCAGTGGCTATCGTCGGCGAAACTGGTACAAGCATGACAACTTAAAGATGTCTCCATTGGGAGATTCATCTGCACGACTTCTAGAGACTTTTTGAACACATTTAGCTCCCAGTCTCATCATATTTACGTGTAATCAAAAACGACATAGGGTTTTGCCTCGTTTTTGAAGTAACACATTAAAATATATTATGGAATGTCCTCTTTACGCTGTCGTTTTTGCAATAAGTTGGTCGTATCCGCCTTTGATTTCTGCGCTCTCTTATTTATTATTTTCGTTGATATTTTTGTTCGATTAGATTTCGCATCTTTATTCTGCTGTCACGTTCATATGCATCCATTAATACATTCATAGATGTCAATATGCCTATGTTATTGTTCTATGATCGTATTTCCTCAGGAATCGTATACGTGACAAATCTAATGTCGGCGGTGACCTTAAATGATAGGGGCAAAGGTAGCTCCCACGTCACTATTGTGTCAATGGCGGGACGAGGCATAACTGGTTTACCCATCCAAATTTTAAAGAACCACAAAGAAATAGTTGGAAGCGCCCTTGATTGTGCTCCAGTGTCTGTGTCTGGCATAAAAGATCGTGGCAAAAGTAGTAATTCGTCAAATATTTGTGCCTTCTGATTTTGATGGATAGATTGCAAGGCTGGCATCTGCAGCCATTCTTCGAGACTCTGAATTTCCGGTTTTCGCTGGCATTTTTTGACTAGCCACTGCATTGGGAGAAGCGAGGACGGATTCTTAAGCCTGTAAAATATGTAACCCACTTTTGTATGGCTCTTAGTTTTATCACCTGCCTGTCTCTGATTTTCCAGCATAGAAGTACATTTGACGTTTTATCTAGAGAATCTGTTTCATTGCGTACTCGTACAACAAGCTAACACAGCGATTGAGCCTACTTTCCAGAACCATTTTTTGGATTAATACTCTGGGATCATCGGTATGTGATTTGTAGCACCACATTGCCGCTTACTCAGCCGCTTGATTTAGAGGTGTATCTGCACTTATTGATAATAGCACTTGCCCGTCACTTCGTATTCTTCTAGTCTGACACTCCATCCCAGGGTTGGATTATACCCTAAAGGGCACAAGTAGGCCTTATCAGGTTTCTTACTCAAATTGTGTCGACACTAACTTTGCAGGCAATATTACTGATCATCGATTCAAACGCAGTCAAATAAGCGAAAACTTTTCCATATTTCCGCACTCCACTAAAAAAGCACTTGTCATCGAGCAAGTTGAGGCCGTAATTGGGTCGTCTTTTGATAGTTTGCTTTAAATTCGTCTTAACGATCACTGTTCTCACTACTCATCTCCTGATTCATGTTTTTACTTCTTTTACTCTACTGCCTAATTTAATGGATGGATTGATCGCTTGAACTCGGTGCATTATCAATTGAACCGAACAACTACGGGTTGTATTGTTTTTCTGTAGGGTGGGAATATCATGCTCTGCGACACCTGTCCTCGTGCCTACCACCTCGTCTGCCTCGACCCCGAGCTGGAAGAGGTCCCCGAAGGTGTGTGGTCTTGTCCGCATTGCGAGAAGCAGGGCATTACCGTAGCGCATCGCAGCACTGCCGACCCCGCCGCCGCTGGCGACGAAGATGCCTCCACTGCCAGCGAGGGTCCTGTTCACGTCTCCCGCAAGGCAGCTACGGCAGGTGGCGCTGAAGAAGAGGGCGAACGGGACGAGCACCAGGAGTACTGCTCTGAGTGTCGTGATGGCGGCGATCTCATCTGCTGTGAGAATTGTCCTGCTAGCTACCATCTGGGCTGTCTGGATCCACCGCTCTCGCAAATTCCAGAGGGTGTATGGCTGTGTCCTCGATGCGGTTGCAAACCACTCAAGGCTCGAGTCTCGAAAATTCTCTTCTGGAGGTGGCGTGAACCCCCAAAAACTGCCATTTCTGTGATGGAAGATGTGGAGAAAATAGAAGTGGACAGAGAGGGGATGGATGGTACTGTTCCTCCGACTCAAGCTACCGCTTTAGACCCACAGACAGGGGAGGTTGAGCAAGTGTCGTGTGTTGGTGCCCTTGCGGTGACCGCACCTCATCCGCCGGCGAGAAGGAAACCCACGAGGGAGTTCTTTGTGAAGTTCCATGAGATGTCCTACTGGGCTTGTGAGTGGGTGACGGAGTTGCAGTTGGAAGTCTTTCACTCCCTTATGTTGCGAGTTTTTTCGAAGAAGTATGATATGGAGGAACCACCACTGCCAGAAGATGGTAGCTCCTATCGGTCAGTATTCATCTATATTTTTTGCTACTTTTTGTTCGTCGTAAATTGACAGGAGACAAACTACTAGTTTTTCTTCCTTCTCGCTTTTTAATACTTCTACTGGAAGCAGTAAGTTGTCGTGTCTGCGAGTAACCTGGCTACTTCCGTCTAGCAAACTGGCCTGTCTTCGGAATTTAATAATTACCTGCGCTAAAAAGGAGGAAATAGTGTTCATTCATTTTTCTAAATACAGTTAGAAGGTATTTGTGTGCTGGAAGCCTATGAATGGGTAGGGAGTTTTAAAGATATGCCTATGCTGGGGTCGACGGATGCAGAACTTTCCAAACTCCCCGTCAAGAGGCTACCGAGGATTCACCTCAAAAATTAAAGGACTTGAGTTGAGTGTTCCTGGTGGCCTTGCCTGTGACCTGATTTATTACAGAGAAATATGGTCACATTGTTTTTGGCTTACCTCAGCCTTTCAGTCTCCTGGGTTTTTTTTTTCCAGCGGAAGACATTTTTGATAATCAAACACCGTCCTTGTTTGAACTGCTGTACGAAGATAGCTCTCTGGCCATGTGAGAGATCCCGCTTCGACTCCGTTTGGGTTTTTAGTTCCCCTCTGCGGAAGAGGAGTCGTTCGTAACCTTTAAGCCTGGGGCCAGCATTTCTTCTCTGATAACGATTGTCAAAACTTGAGCTTTTTTAACCGACCGGCTTCTTCCTTTCTTTGTGTTTTACGGTCTCATACTAGTCGAGGTTCACCCCTACTAATTCATGCGTTATCTACCGCTCCTGCCAGAGTCCATCATTGTTCACCAACTTGGTCCCAACCCAAGTCTCTGACTTGGCTAATTTGCGAATTAGATGAATGTCGAACTCCTTGTGGATCCGCGTTCATTAGGTATTCACCGTCACCATGAGGGCAATCATGTCTAGGATCATTCTTCTAAGCAGAACAAACCTGAAGACTCCGATCACGAGTCGAAACATCTTTTTAATCCAAAATACTTCAATTTCTGAATGTTAGTGCTAGGTGAGGTCGTGGGCCCAGTAATTATAGTCCAACCCCTGCATTGTATGCAAATTCTGGAGATCTTTCATGGCGATGTGATTAGAGTATTGGCCAAAGTGGTTCCTGGGTTCCGTCAACGATCTTGCAATTTGTTCTGGGTCATGCGGATTGCTAGTCACGACCCAAGGCTTTTCTCCAAAACTGTACCAAACCTGGAAGTAATCATCCACCAGGCGGTACATGCCATTGAGTTACTTTTATCACGTATTTTAACCCCCTGAACTTGCATTGGTGATTTCGGGGATCAAAAAATCTGTCCCCCTCTCCATATTGACGAATCGCCACAGCTTGAGTGCCCCAGAGGTTTGAGGCTCAGGTGTGGTGTGCGGCGTTTTGTGTGTATGTGATGTCAGAAAGTGCCTCGACTGTATAGTCGTCATACATGCACGCACGCACATACCCAAGCGCGCAGTCGCAATTTGCTGTGGTTTTATTGATCGGCCTTTCGACAATGCACACACCACCGCACACGCGTGCGTGCGTGCGTGTGGGGGCTTGCCATCATCTCCGTCCTAAAGACGGTGGTGGTGAGTGAGTTAGTCACCCCATTACCTCCTCCCCTTGCTACATTGATATCTTGCTGTCTAATCACTTCTACCCCATACCCTCACGACCTCTCCTCATCGAGAGGGGCAGTGTGACCACTCACGCTACACTACGGATACTCATACTGTGAAGTAGAGCGCGCCCACCATTTTTTGCCTCTCGTGTTTTCTTCTCACTCAGAGTGTGGCGAGGATGATTTTTTTCGGAAACTGACGGAATTAAGGCCCATCTCAGCTTGTCAGCTCTCTCATGCTCATCATAGCGATAGGGGTACGTTCACTCGACTGTGCTGATCCGATCCCGATGACTAACTGTTTTGGCGCATTATTCATCTTTGATGGAACCACCGGTCCGAGAGTTTTTCAAAGGATGCTTTATTTCCTCTGATTTGTCTTGATTCTTTCCAAGTGATTCGGTGATTGGTCAGTACTAAGAATGCTTCTCCTATAGTCAACAAAATTGGAAGTATCTTCTGGGGTTAGAAACTAGCCCCGTCACCTCGTCGCCATGATAGAGTTGCTCACTGAAATTTATTGACCATGTCTCACAAGTTTGGCAACAATTTTTGCATGGGTCACTCTCGTGCCACAACGGACGGACAAGCCATGAGAGGCGGGTATTTCCATCATTCATAGTCTTTACCTTACCTATCTGTCCCGGTACTTCAAATGTCAACACGGTTTACGCGAAAGTTTGGAATGCTTCTTAGAAGCTCCAAACCCAAATCTGGTGGTCTTTTGCTAGCTCTTTCGCGTTTCATCGTCCCAGTAGAAATGGGATTACTGTAGTCAACTATAGACTGTTTAGATCTTGCATCCAACCTGAATAGTACTGCTGTGCCAACAGAATTTCGAAGAACTTTCCAGCACATTGATGCGGTTCGTCTTCATTCATGGTTTTATACGGAAGGCTCTTTGCCTTGGTTTTATGATTATTGATGCGACACCATGACCTTTGACCTATGTCAACCCGATTCAGTGTGGCGATGAAACACCAAATGAATATTGTCTCCTGTGCGTTTTGGTACCGTAAGTTAACTGCTTCAAACCTGACAGTTCGGAACCATGTGACATTCGCAATGCAATTTAACACTGTAAGATTCTATTTTTTCTTTGTGGAAGGGAATATTCGGTTACTTAACCACTTCCCTCATTCACAATTCTGATGTTTTTCTTACCTGATTTCAACTCCATCTTTGATCTAGCCTTAGGCTCTCTGGTCTTCCGGGTCATCTTCATTTTAAGATATAAAGTAGATGGAGCCGTGGATTTGTTCCACCACATTACACCGTTCTACTGAAAACGAAGGGGTCATGTGTGAAATCGTTCAGCAGTCAGTTGCTTGGACCTTATAACAGGGTGAGGAATTGCACATTGCAGTGTGGGTACAGATGACTCATCCATATTACCTTGTGACCTACTTCCCCATACCTTGACATGACCTCTGTGGTTTGCTTCACTCAATTTTCTGCTTTTAGCCACCTTCCGTACATTCTGAGATCCCTTCTCCTATTCCACTCGCCATGGTATTCGAAGGACGTCTCAATCTGCTACATTTGGAAGTGGGTCTACTTCCTCCAATAAAATTTGTTCAATCATTACAGAGGAAAAAGCGTTTTCAATAGGGGCTATTTGAGCCGCTTTGTGCACGGGCTAGGTGACAATGCTGTTTCTGAAGTTATGTTGCTTATTCAGGTTCGGTTGATTCTAAAGTATCCTATGACACCTGAATTATCTACAAAAACATCGTGGGCAGCAGTTTTGTTCAAAAATGCACCCAAAGGGCGAGGGTCTTGTAGTACGGAACTGGTATGGGCAGGTCCCCATCATGCCATCGTGTAGGCCGCATTGTCAAACCCGCGGCCTAAACGAGCACCCTTTATCACAATATGGTGCTCAATCCACATCCCTATATATTTTTAGTCCACGTGTATTTTGTTTCACAAATGTCATCGTGACTCTTCATTGTCTCCGACCCCATAGTTTCGTTCTATCTTAATTTCTTGTTGAAAAATTTCAATTTGTCTACTTTAGGAAGTGTTTTTTTAAATCGTAGCTCCATCACAACATCGGTTGATTGTTCGTTGCTGCTGTTAAGGCTATCCGAAATCACTTTTGATGAGAACACCTTTACTTTCCACCAGTGTTTCGAATACGAGGCAAATAAGTCACGTGAGAGGGACTTTCTTTGTTCTTTAAACTGGAGAACAATCCTCTCCAGTGTTAAATGAAAAACTCCTAATTTGTCTAAGAGTGTCAAACACTTTTCTCCGCTGATAGCACTAGAAGCTTTTCTTGTTGATGGTGATTTGGAGTGTGCGAACCTCCCCTTTTGCGTGGTGCGGTTCGCAGCTAGCTTTTGTTCAGCACTAGTCATTTCTGAACCCAGCAACGGTCTAATAACCTCTTGCTTTAATAACTTCTGACTTCTGATTGTAAAAACATTAGTGTGCTAATCCGTTTAACCTGTGAATAAGCTATAGGTGGATATTTCCGAAGTGAAGATTCATCAACTTTTTACTGAAGGGATGCTAAATTCGTTCTACTTTCCCCATTGATCTGCTCAGTCATAGACAGTTCTACAGGGAGAAACTTTATCTTCATGTATCTTCTGCTAATAATTTGTCCTCTTTCAAAGTTCAGGTTTGCTCATGGACGACTAGTGGTGAAAATTCCGCTCCTACTTCCGACATTCACGTTCTGCTCACGAATTGGGGATCGTTTATCAGAATCTTATTCTTGTTTTTTTCACTTATCCTTACGCCATGACGACAAATTATGCCAACCTGCAAGGACGCTTCATTTTGACAGACAGGGGTAACCTCATGATACTCATCAATAACGACTACTGCCCTTCCTCCTTTACCTCGATTTCAGTATTTTTGAGGGAAATATTCCCAAATGTTGATTACAATAGGAGGGAGACAAACTAGACGCAAATTGACCGATGTCAAAATAAATATTCTTCCAAATCAAGTAGTCCTTTTTCGCTCTGCCTGTCTACACAGAGGACGCGCCAGGGAGAAGGCGCCCGACCCACAGAACCTAGAAGAGCGGTTCTACAAGTGGGGTGTCCGTCCCGAGTGGCTCCAGCCCCAACGTATCATCGACAGCCGGATGACACGTCAGAAGGAATGGTTCCTAGTGAAGTGGCGTGACTTGCCCTACGACGAGTGCACGTGGGAGGACGTGGCCACCACCGAGGTTCCCGAGTTCGAGCGCTTTGTGGAGGAGTTTCGGCTCATGCGGGGTCTCTTTAAGGGCGAAACGAGTTTCGTCACAACAGGCAAGAAGAAAGGGAGCTCCTCTTCTACAGCTACCGCCACCGCTGCCGCTATTGCTTCGGCGAAAAAAACAAGCATTAGTGCCAGTTTGTTAAAGAAAATCCCTCCTGAGAAACCGATTACGGATTTGAGGAAACAGTTGACCAAACAGCCGGAGTATATGGATGAGACGGGTGGGGAACTGCATCCCTATCAATTGGAGGGATTGAATTGGTTGCGATTCTCCTATGGCAATAAAGTGGATACTATTTTGGCCGATGAAATGGGTCTGGGAAAGACAATCCAAACTATTGCTTTCTTGTACTCCCTCTACAAGGATGTAAGTTACTTTTGTTTATTATCTCGATATTCAACCTATAGTTTATGGTGCTTTATTATCAGGACAGTAGTTTATGTTTATCAATGAAGTGGTAAGATGAATGTATGGATGAGGTTGCTGGGGTTGGCTGAAAGCAAACTTATTTCTGCCACAAGACGTCGAAGACTGTTAGGACAGCTCCGTGGAGGTCAAAGCTCGGAGAACTAAAAAGGCCCGCATAGTTATGCATGCATTTTTATTTACATTTTACTGTATTGCCTCTGTCTTCTTTTGAGCATCGTCACAGCGCTTTTTTGTAGTTTCAATGTTCATCTAAGTGACCTGAGCATCATGTTGATACTGAATTATTTAAAAATGTAGGTGATATAATAAATTTGTGTCGTGGCGAGAATGATTCTTATGCATTCATGGATGTACGTGGGATCCCTTAATATCAACAATTGGTTTGAAAAGTGATTCTAAAGCCTGGTCGATGACCTAGGGCGCGGAGGTTTAATGACTGGGGATTGAAAAGGTCTCCATTTGTTATTTTCCCTATAATCGTTCTTCTGTTTACTGTGAAGCAGGAATAAATGTCCTATATCACAGTTCAAAGGTTATTTCAATGGAGGTCGTATGTCATATGGCTAGATGAGAGTTCTTAGTTGAGTCGTTTTCATTGGGTAAACCGCATCGAAGGAGATTCCCTTGCGAAATAGTGGTAACGGCTGATTTGCAGAGGCATGAAGAGAATGGTTCACTTGGCATGCGTAGTCAGATGCAGGGATGTCATTCTAGTACAAATTGATGTTTTTCCTTTTGTTATAACAGCAACGCATGCTTAGGAGTAAAGTTTACTCCATGAAACTTTGAGGCGATGGGGTACTCCTCGGCCATGACCACGGATCTCCGGGTGTTTATCTTGTCACATGGTTAACTCATCGCATCATCTAGAGCCTAATTCTGTCACGCGATGTGTATTACGGCTTTGAGTAAATAAAATGCAAGCCCATGATCTCACAAAGCCTGTCAGTGAATAGAGATCGTAGGTGTCATTGCAAGGGGAAGCATTCCACTTTGACACCAATCAACGTGGAAGCAAAACATTTACCCACTTACAGTGTTTTTAGATCAAATGTAATTGCATGACAGCAGTATTGGAAGATATTTATCACCTACTCACTATATCATTCTACACTATAGGTCCTTTCCCCGCTTTGTCAAATCCTTTTGTGCTAGTTTTCGTTTGCGTTTCGCCGGAAAGTGATATCCGACTGATGTGTTCTTACTCCACTCGTCTACGATAGAGGCGATAACAAGGGGATTATAAAGATCCAGCTATGTAATTGATGGAACATAAGTTGTTTACAATGTTTGACATCATTGAGCTACTAGCAATCCGCAAATTCCAGGGCATCGAAGTGGACTTTTATCAACTTGGCCTGTAATCACTCACTGTTATGTAAGCCATTCAAAACATCCGGGCGCTGGTAGACTGGTCTGGATGCGTTAAGATTCACTTAAGTGGTCTCCTTAGCTGTGAGGACGTTGGTCACCTAAGAAGGAATCGTTATTTTCTGGACACATCCTTTAAAACGGCAACTACTTCATGAATATTGGGTCTCTCCTTATTTGCAGATACCAGTAGTTTTCTCTGTATCATGAGCATGCTTGTTGTCGCTCCTCTCAACTATGCCCCGAAGCGCCTATGTTAGGGGAGCGAAGGATAACTTGATCGTGAAAGATGTCTCCCGTTCTCTTCTCCATCTCGTAAGTCGTATTCAGTGCATGCCTGCTGAAACACAAGGTCTTCACTGAGCAGCTCTCTCGACCGATTCCGAATTCTGGCAACCAACATTAGAATGCTACTATATGCTTTGACTAGAATCACCCAATCAATATGTCAACGAACGACTGTTTGTGAACTAACAAATATTCACTTTACTGAAGCTGAAGTGTTTTTATCTGCAGTGGTCCAGGAGGTTCCATTCAGGAGGGAGCCAAAGAGTCAAATTATTGTGGAACTTCTAGACTATTCAGTCCTTGGTCATGAATGCCGTAGAAGAAGAAGTGGACTCATGTTCTTTGAAGACCTGGAAGGTGTCTTAAATGTCCCATTTTAAGACACTACACTCCATCCTTGATCAATCAACAATGCATCCACTTATAAAGGCCTTTTAGACGCCTCATCCCCCAGTCGAAGAGAAGCTCACAAATCGTCCCAGGAAAGTAGTCCAATGTTCTTAATTCCGAAGGAAACTAGTAGGTCAACTGTCAGAGGTGACGTGATAAAGGCAATTTACCATCATCTACTCCTGGGTCATGCAAGCTGTAGGAGAATGAACAGGTTTTCTTTGAGTAATTCTCTTTGCCTAGTACTCTGCAACCGTCTCTACTGCCTAGATGTAGACTGTTACAGCGATTATCGGATAATTTAGAATACATATGAGTGTGCATTGGAACTTTCGCTCTTGGGTAGTTGTCGTAGTTGTGTTGCCTCAAGCGTAGTTGTCCAAGCGTTTAGGCGAGAGCGAAGCGCTCAGCACTCATCTCCATGATCCTCCTTCCAGGGTCACAGTCGAGGTCCCTTCTTGGTAGCCGCCCCCCTCTCCACCATCATCAACTGGGAGCGTGAGTTCGAGTTATGGGCCCCCGACTTCTACGTGGTCACCTACGTTGGGGACAAGGACTCTCGGACGGTGATCCGCGAGCACGAGTTTACCTTTGAGGAGGGCGGAGTGCGTGGCGGCTCTCGAGTAGTGAAAATGCGCTCGGGCGCCCAGGTTCGCTTCCATGTCCTTCTCACTTCCTACGAGCTCATCTCCATTGATCAGGCTCTACTCTCTTCCATCGACTGGGAGGTGCTGGTTGTGGATGAGGCGCATCGGTTAAAGAACAACCAATCCAAGTTCTTCCGCATGCTTAGCACCTACAAGATCGCCTACAAGCTGCTCCTCACCGGAACACCGCTGCAGAATAACCTGGAAGAGTTGTTTCATCTGCTTCACTTTATGTCACCTGCAAAGTTCTATGATATGCAGGGCTTCCTGGATGAGTTTGCGGACATCTCGAAGGAGGACCAAGTGAAGAAGCTTCATGAAATGCTGGGAAAACACCTACTTAGGCGGCTTAAAGCGGATGTGCTCAAAAACATGCCATCAAAGGGAGAATTTATTGTCCGCGTCGAATTGAGTCCTATGCAGAAGTGAGTTTATTTTATTATTCTTGCTTTTTATGGTCTACCATTGGGGAGTTAGAAATTTCGTAACTCATCAAGAAGGATTGGTTTGTTTTTTTTTCTCGACACATGCTAACAGCGCCCCTATTTGGATCAGGAAGGTCAGGGCTTTTCCTCGTGAGCGGGGAGGGCAATCAGATTTTTGCTGAAACACGTCAGCAGCAACCTTGGTCCAGAGCTAGATAACCGTTTTCACCGTTTGGATGTTGACTGTCCCGTTGATTCTATGATCTTGCAAAAGAATAAATTAGAATGGACGGCATGCAGTTGATGGCACACTGAGCCTATTGAATGAACTCATCATTTCTGAAGTTCTGTTGTCAATGGATGTTCTCTACTCTGTCCTGAGAGCTCCTTCCCGACGGAGGCCGATGGACCGTATTTAAATCACAATGACGCTGTTCATACTTCAAAATATCTCAAAATTCCGTGGAAGTTTTTACTTGGATTTTTGTACGCACTCATACTGGTCTAGGCGTAACCAATGGGGTCAGCTTTGATTTCAGCGACCGATGACCCTTTGGAAGGTGATGTACAAGTTTATAGTGATATGCATATAGTCGGCAATTCGGGACGCATTAAAATTCACTGTACTTCTTTTCTAATTTTAACCCTTTGATTGTCTGGAAAATCAAATACATTCCAGGTGTTATATTGTGCCAAACAGTCGAAAAATGAATTTACCGTCTAGCTAACAACATCCAACATGTTTTTAGCGCTTTGAACTCAAAAAATCCGTTTGTGAACTGATAAAATACATGTGTCGCATGGGTGTGAAATGTGGGTTTAAATAAGAAAATCGGTAAATCACAAGTGCCGTTGGTACCAAACTTGTTGATCATTTGTATTACCATCTTGTAGGAAATTCTACAAGTTTATCCTAACGAAAAACTTTGATGCACTGAGCTGCCGAAGTGGTGGCGCCCAGCCCTCCCTCATTAACGTGATGATGGACCTTAAGAAGTGTTGCAACCATCCCTACCTCTTTCCTTCCGCCGCTGAGGATGCGCCTCGCTTACCCAACGGAGCCTTTGAGGGTTTGGCGCTGCGTAAGGCCTGTGGCAAACTCGAGCTCCTCTCTGCCATGTTACAGAAGCTGAAGGCTGGTGGCCATCGGGTACTCATCTTCTCCCAAATGACCAAGATGCTGGACCTGTTGGAGGACTTTCTCGAAGCGGAGGGGTATAAATTTGAGCGCATTGATGGCAATGTGACGGGTCAGCAGAGGCAGGATGCCATTGACCGGTTCAATGCAATTGATTCAACGTCATTTGTGTTTTTGTTATCAACGAGGGCTGGCGGCTTGGGCATTAATTTGGCCACGGCAGACACGGTGATCATCTATGACTCTGATTGGAATCCTCACAATGATATACAGGCGTTCTCGCGAGCACATCGAATTGGTCAAGCGAATAAGGCAATTTGGTGTTTTTTTCTCATTTTTTTCTGTGGTACTTAATTTCCCATCCCGTTAAATATGGAATGTGCAATGTTTGATTTTAATTGGTTTGTTTGGTTTTGTTCCAAAAAGCTGGATTTTTGGATTAATTCAGTAGGATAGAGGTGGCTGAGGTGCTAGCTTGACAGGTTCGATTCCTATCAAAGCGAAGAGTTTTTAAGCTAGATGATAGGTCAAGTTAAACTTAATTATATGAGATCTAAAGTTTGTGCTTATAATGTGTTAGCGGGTTGCGTAGGATTTTGTGTGAGAGTGGTGTACAATCTATCCCAGGACCAAATATTTTACTTCTTTATGTCGATTTTTCTCATCTCGTTTGGTATTCTTCGTCCGTGGCTTTTATTCCATTGGCATCGCTTGCCAGGAGGGGACTTCTCGTTCAAACCGACAAAGAATGTGTTGTGCTGTGTGTTTACTGGTCATGCCCTTCCGAGTCAGATATTCCTGCTTATTGATATCTCAGACCGTCCGAAAAATAAATGACAGCTAAGTTTGAGCTGCAAAGGGGATATTGGTTACCAAACTTGTTACTACGAGCTAAAAGAATCTGTCAAATTTTACCAGACCTCATTTTCTGTCGATGGTACTAGCAAGATGTGTGGTGGAGCACTATCTTCCCCCTTTCCATGACATCGACCTATCTTCATTTTCAGCTAAACGCTCCGAGGCTGAAAAGGTCTTTGACACGTTACTTTGAATCAATTGAAGAGCGATCTTGGGGATGACGAAGCACTTGAACTCATGATAAATTAATCACGAAATTTACTCATCCGGCACTTTTATTGTAAAGGTGTTCGACATAAATAATCCCGGGACCACGGTCAGGAGATTAACATGAGAGTTGAATTTCCCGAAATTTTGCTTGCACGTAGACATTCCCCTCATTTTTGCTATACTATATAAACTTTTTGTCGACTTGTGTATTAACTATCGTGACTATTTGTCATCAGTTAAGTAACTCTAATGCCACACCAGCAGCCATTGGCAAATGAGCACTGGCACTGGGGGATAGATGGGGTCATCCACCTCAAAATCCCTCCATTTAGTTTCTATCCAGGGCTTATTCTGCATCCGTCCATACACTTAAATTTTTTTCCCATTGAGAATTACATGCTCATTCCTGATGAACTTATTCACTTAATATTTTCGACTTAATGATGTATTAGTTGTTGCAATTCAAAACGAGGATGTGCTTGCATATGAGTAAGCTTGACGATGCGATGTAGTTTCCCTCATCAGGCGAATAATCAACATATGGGTTGGGTATCCATGTGTCTTTGCCTTTTATCCCTCTCAATTGTGTCCATTCATGCATCCATCCTGGAACCGTCCATCTACTCACTCGTCAGTTCTGGGCCCGTCAATTTATTTACCTTTCTGACATTTTCCGTACAGGTGATGATCTACCGCTTCGTAACACGCGCCACGGTGGAGGAGCGAGTGACACAAGTAGCAAAGAAGAAGATGATGCTCACTCACCTCGTGGTGCGACCGGGTCTGGGCGGTAAGGGTGCCAGTCAGATGTCCAAGAAGGAGCTCGACGATATCCTCAAGTTTGGCACGGAGGATCTCTTCAAACACGAAGACAACGACGGTAATAGCGACTTATATACCTTCTCTACTTGTCATAGAAGGCGGTACTAGTTGAGAAACTGCTATTAACTGGTCGTGTCTTGACGTGCCATGCGGAAATTTTTTTCATTCTGGTAGCAAAATGACTGCGGAACTTGTCTGTGAATTGGAATGATGTGGAGGGAAGGTCGTTTTGTCATGTACAGGAGTGCTGCGAGCTAATGCACGTCATAGGCGCATATTCGTCTCCTTCGCCACATATTCACTCAGTATAGAGGCAAAGGTCTGTCTAGTAGGGCTTTTCATAAGTTAGTAGTGGTTCGTACTGGTCTGATGCGGGACGAAATTCCCAGTCCGACATGAACACGATGACCAGGAACGAAGTATGAACCCCAAGGCTGATTAATGTACATGAGCGGTCTTTTGGCATTCACACCTACTGGGACAATTAGTATGGTCAATGCTATCAATCCCAAAACAACCTTGCATAAATGTCCATTCGAGTTGCTGTCAACTCCGTTGTAAACAGTATCATACTACAAAAGATGGGATTTCGCTGAGATCATATGTTTTGAGGTGCTTTTGTGTTCCTCAACTGGAAACAAGTGTTATATACCATCTGAAGAATGGTATTGTGAGCTCACTAGCATTTCTGACACTTGACTCTAACCCCCTTTAAAATCTCTGGTTTTAGTGTTTAAGGCGGGGAGGTGGGTAGTGGGGAAGAAGTTAAGAAGGTCTGGTATTCATCGTCGTAAACAAATGGCCAAAATCCCATAAAGCATTACAGGAAAATCTTGACATTATTAAATGTGGGAAAGCTTAAGTAAATGTTTTTAAGTAATTAAAACCCGTGACAGGTGTTCGAGTCAAACCTAAATTTTGAGGATACTAGGAATTGGGACTGGATTTAGCTGTTCAAACACGATTCCTTGCCTCATTCACAAACCCACTAGAGCGCTCAGCAAACAGCTGGAAGGCTTCAACATAAAAAGGTTTGCTAGTGTGGATAAACCATTCCAAGGCAACCCACTTCGTCTGTTCTGAAAGATGTCCTAGTACCCTATTTCTACTGACTTTTCAGATGTGGAAGTGATCAAAATGTGTTGTGTTTATCGCTCCCACGGAAAGATTCGTCTCCCGTCCAGTGTTGTTAGCCATTGATTAGGCGTTCCACGATCTGAATAAATGCTCATAGGAATGAATTTCAAGACTGTGGTTTGAATTCGGAATCACCACGGCCAGGATCGCTGTTGACAGACGGACGGTCGTCTTTGAAAAGTTTACTATTGCCATATTTCCAGCTGTTGAAATTGAGTATCTCCTCATATTGCCTCAGGCCTCCCGTAAATGCGAGTGTCCGCGACCTTGACGCTTTCGTTCACAAGACACTACCACCAAACGCTGTGCACGCACGTGTGGTATCACTGTTACCTGTTAGCTTGATTAACGATGTCTGGACTGGCCTGTCACATGCTTGTTGGCTGTCAGTGCATAATTAGCAACGTTTTTGACTCTCCTAGGGTAATGCCTTGTAAAACAACTGTTCCTGCTCGACTTGAATTTCACTTTTATTCTTGGTTTTGGTCGCCGGCGTTCCTTGAGGAAGCAATTTGCTGTACGCCTAGATCTTTTCTATTCATGATTTTGTCGCTAATCAACCTGAAAGGAGACCTAATCTTCTCTCAAGCCCTTAAATCTATATTGAAATCCTTTGCGTGCTTTCGCATATGCAGCCACAGACGAACACTGTATAGTCTACGATGACGCCGCATTGGATCGTCTGTTGGATCGTAGTCAGCAAGGCATGGAGGAGAAGCAGATGGAGATGAACGACTACCTCAGCTCCTTCAAAGTGGCGCACTACGAGAAACGTGAGATCCAGGACGGGGACAGCGAGGAGCCCGGAGATGAGGACTCCAATGTTGAGGTAAGGGGTCATTTTTAACTTCCTGGTGTGAGTTACTCCTGAGTTGGTGAATCTACGGTGGAACAGCTAGTTTAAATGCCATAATATTGCAAAGATTAGCGGCATTCTCGGGGCTACCCAGTGGTTAAGCTGAACTGGCAATTACAACAGCAACGGTGGTTGGAGGTATTTAAATTGCAAGATGATGCGGTGCACTTGTGTAGCGCTTGAGTTACTCTTGATGACTTTACCACTTTGTTTTGAGCTTCATCCTCGGTGCTTCGCGTGACCGAAAACTGACTTGACTATTCGTCGTGTATATTTTTGTTTAACCATTGATATAGGTGATCAAGCAGGAGTCGGATACCAACGACCCAGCGTACTGGGAGAAGCTGTTGCGTCATCACTTTGAACAGGCGCAGGAGGACCAGGCGAAACTGTTGGGCAAGGGCAAACGCCATCGCAAGCCTGTCAACTACTGGGCAAATCAGCAGGAGGACGAGGAGGAATGGAATGACAATACCAGTGATCATGACAGCAACTTTTCTACCAAGGTGAGTCATCTCACCCCATTTCTGTCCTCTCTGCGGCCTGGAGGGGTGCTATTTCTTATTTCCTTCGGAATTGATGCTCTTCTTAATCGAGGTTCGGTAGAGAAAAGCCCTTATTTTCTCACGATCTCAACTGAATACGATAGAAAAAAAGGACTTCAGACCAGAAGGCTTTGTTTCCTCTGCTTCAAAGTACCAAAAATGGTCAAAACTCCCACGTATTTATAACTCGTGAATGATTTATGGGAAAGAGAGAATTGGTACTTTTAGCTAATAGTGGAGAGCTTCTTCGAAAGGTTGGTGACACTTGAGGCATTGTCCAGATCGGGTCGCACTGAATAGCTATTGGGTCGGCTGGTTATGTACTTTTGGCAATCAAGTGAATTGCACAAATGACTTTTTTGGCTTTTTTTGACCTTGTTTGCTCGTTGGTGCCGAGCTTGGAATTGGGTAAGCGGATCTGACACTACCCATAATCGTGGCCAAAGATGCTACACTGGTGACACTGGTGCTGCTTATAGCGTCAGTGCTTGGCGTCAGGATGCGGGTGTCTTGAGGTCAGGGTTGCGTGGAATAGGTAGGATGAATTTATGCATCTCGTGGACTTTGAGACTTCCTTGGTTCCTGGATTAAACCATGCCGGCGTCATGCTGAAGGTTGATTAAACATTTGTGCACTTTATCGGACGTGATTCTCGGCGCCTATTTTAGAAGTAGTCAAATATTTGCAAATTTTGATGACTGAGAACTTAGATGAAAGTATTTAACTTGAACTGGTCGTCAGTCAAAAGACTTCCTATTGAAATGTTCGTTTTTTACGGTTTATAATTTCAATACGTGTCAAGAAATCGTCTGTCCCATTCATGACTAATTTTGAGCGCTTTTATCACCTACCGAGAAAAATTGTTTTGCCATTCCGCCATCGCGAATCATTTCGTATTACGAAAGACCGGAGTTTAACGGGCGTGTTGTGTTGCCTAAGTCACTGCTCCCGAGAGCACATCGCCAGTTTCACGCCAGGCGCCCTGGCGTCAACCACATGAAGTCCATTATTCGGAAGTTTTACGAACGGCTGAAGATATTACAGACGTTGTCAGGATCTATCGGAAATACCAGCAAGCAGTGGGAAACCCTCAAGTTCCCTCTCTCTAGACGCCATGGTCTCAGTCAGAGAAACTATTGTCACGATTTCATCTCCATATTATTTCTTATTCTGATAGCTACAGTTCACATTGTGATACTTAAGTCACCTGCTGTCACTCATACTCGCTCTCCATTGCATCATTTTTAATTCAATGGGCAGTTGGGGTACTTTCTCGACACTAAAACTGGCACCACTGAAGTCACGAGGAAGGGAGACAAAGCAATCGGTGACATCTTGCAGAGATTCTTACTAGTTTACCGGAGGGTTTCAAGCCATTTGATACTAAACCATCAGGCAAAGCTTTGCTCAGTCAACACAGAGCCGATTCTAAGACCACAAAACTGACATCTGTGCTCGTAATTGTCACCCATCACGCAACCGATGAGTCGGTAAGGGCACCTGGATGAGACGTGGGAGTCAGTTGCGTCTACGGCACGCTGAAGTACCAGCAGCTCAACATCTTCCAAATACCACATCTACCTCATCACTCTATTCCGCAGACACGGGACACAGCGACCTCAAGTTACCTCAAGAAGACCTCTACACTAGTTTTCTTTTGTGAAGGAAGATGCTGGAGATGTTTAAAACTCTAGGAACATTCCCACTTCGAAGTTTTGGGTATCCATGTTTTTCAAAAATTTCGAGATTTTCTTTTCGAGACAAACTTGCTGCGTTTGGACAAACTTCAATTTTTTTTAAAAAAAATAATGTAAAAAATATTGCAGTGGAAATGGTTTTAGGTTTATAAGCATCACCTCACTGTTCTGTAATGTTCTCCGATTATTTTGTACCCCCGTGAGATATGTTGATGGAACCCAGTGGAAGGGATTTAGGATTGCCTGCTTTACGAGTTGAATTGCAATTTTAAAACAAATCTCTCGTCAATTTTTTTTCGGGTAACAGTCAGAAAGGGTGCAGTAGCAGAAACTGTCGCCCAAAATTAAGTGATGTAAGGAGTCGGATTAGAGAGGTGAATTAATCAAGGCTGGATGCGACACCGCCACCAATATCCCCTACTTTTGATGACAATGAAGAAGCACGCGTCACTATCAATTAGCATCACTCGAGATTTACGCGTCCAGAACAACCTTTGATCATACTTAACTTTAGTGATAAAACAGTTGCCCTGTACTTACACCAACTGGGAGGCGAAAGTCGTGGAAACCTCCAAGCAATGATTGCCGTAAGCATTAACGGATGGTAATAAGCTTGAAAGTGTCGATTCATGTTATAAACACTCGTCGTGCACTTTCGATTACTTGCTGACAATTGACCTTTGATGAGAAATGACTTCCGCAATCCATCGTGAAGCAAGGTATCCCCAACCGGTTCAGCCACTGCCCCATACACGCACTACCAAGGCATTTGTGTGCGTGTGTTCACTTACTGATGGTTCAGCAGCACGTAGGGATGAGCTCTGTCTACTTAATACGATACAGTTTGAGCGTGTGCTAAAAACTGCTTTGGAAACATCCGGGACTGGTGAATCGGTCGGAACACAATTCCGTTCGCGAATGACCTCACCCCGCACAACGTAACCGTGAGAAGATTTTAATACTGCGCTCACCTCATCCTCTGGTGGTATCTTTTCAAGCTCCAAGTGATATTACCACCTCTTCCATGGCGTTAGCATTGAACATTGCATGATCGCTTGTGGAATAGCGTCACCAGTTCGTTTGTAAATAAAGGTGGCTCATGCGAGTTTTTTTCTTGGCTTCAAGCGACAAAACGCTGTGCGAAGGTGGAATCTGCAGCAGGTTTATATCGCACCTGGAAAGGAGTTAGTGGGAAATGGTAATCGTGTTTATTATCTTACGGTAATTTAAGGTTATTTCTTTATAAAAGTCGCACAAAGCCCACTTGATTTTCGTCGATCTCGGCAGGCGTTTGTAGGACCTATCCCAAAAAAAACGCAATCGTCTTCTTCCTCCTACGAATCTCTTGGAAGTAATAGGTGCGCCATAACCTTCACGTCTTCTGTTCATTTATGCTTATTCCAGGTTTCGTAACTTGATGAGTGCAAAGTGTATGCGTTCAAAGGTCACCGAGGTTAACTCCTATCTTGTCCTGACGGCTCCCCCAATAAGCGATGACCTTAATAAATCTAATTTCCAAAGGCCTACTTTGCTATCTTGGGTATTTTTACCCTCCGGCTGTAAGGGATTTCGTTATTAACTTCCATCGACCGCGAGGCAGGATTGATCATAAGTATTCATTCCTTTGCAGGGCGATTTGGATTTGGAAAAAATTTTTCCTGAGAGTAGTACTGACGGCTGGACGATATTTTGCAGTTGCCATATTCTGAATGTGTATATATATTTTCGTGGTAGCGTTGCCGAAATATAGCAATAGGGGGAAAAATCCTGTGGCCTTGGGTTAATGCAAACCGTTTGTTCTGATGAAGCATAGTGCGCCTTGCCCTGTGTTTAGTTACATCTTAGTAAAAAGTAATTTCTACTCATGGGCAGTTATTATGTAAGGAATCTCCCTAGATTCAGCCACACAACAGATTTTTGCCTTTCGCAGCCAGTTAATGGAATCAGGGTTGGAGTGCATTTAAATCATACTGGCCCGCTACTGCTACCATGTCGCTCCATATTGTTACTACCACTATACAAGATTGATCACTAACCTTCAGGAGGACTCGTTATTGACATTCCAGTCCTCTGCAGATCAGAAGGTCAAGTTTTCCTCTTCTGAATGACTCTTTAGGGTTTGGCAGCTATGATTAGATGGATCCGCTTCTAAATTGCTCGAAAATATTCTCTCGCAGCTGTTTTTGAGACTCCATAGCCAGTGGATTGAAATCGCACATTCTGTTTGTGTTGCTATCACAGGACGAAGACGACGACGAGTATGACGAGAAGGCTGGTGGCAATGGCGAGGGTATGGGCTCCCAGATTGGTCGCCGAGTGCGGCGAGAGCGTGAGGGCAAAATGCCTCCTTTGCTGTCCCGCGTGAACGGCCAAATCGAGGTGCTTGGCTTCAACATCCGCCAGCGTCGCGCCTTCGTTAACTCAGTTCTACGCTATGGGCTGCCACCACCGCCTTCCTCGTTTTCCATGGCAGGCGTACCTGTAGCATCAGCTACCGCCTCCACGGCTTGGCATTCGCGTGACTTGAAGGGTAAACCGGAGCGCGTGTTCCGCGCCTACGTGGCCCTCTTCATGCGCCACCTGTGTGAGCCGGAGAGCATGAATCAGGAGAATAATGCCACGTACTCTGATGGCACCCCGAGGGATGGGATCTCTCATCAGCCTATCCTCTCGCGCATTGGTATTATGGCCTTGGTGCGTAAAAAGGTGAGCGCAGATGCCGAAACGATTCAAGTCAAATTTCCAAATTGTAAACATAACTCTGAGAATGTAATTTTAACGAGAATTATGTAAGACTGCTTTTTCTTTCACCTTCGAGGATCTTTTGGGAATTGTATGACTCCGAAATTCCAATCCTGGATGGTTACTTTCAATAAAATGTCAACATTCTTGAAAATGACCTTCAAAATCACATCTTCGTCCCTACTTTAGGTCTGAAAATTTGAACTGTTGAATTGTCTCTAAGGCGTTCACATTTCTGAATTGCTTTCGAACGGAGCTGTGATCTAGTGATGCAGCTTCAGGACTTCAACCGTGCAGGATTTCATTGAATTCTCTCTCATTCAAGTTGCGAGAGTTCGAGCGGACAAATAATCTTCACAGCTATCAAAAGTCCCCAGCTAGCTTAAACTAGGATTAGGAAAATTAACAGTTCAATCTCATGCGATTATGCTATACGGAACGTCAGCAGCTCTCGACGGAATGCCACGGGATTATGTCTCCTCCACTGTAGGTGCAGGAGTTTGAGCAAATCAACGGTCTCTACAGCATTCCAGACTCCACCACTACCTCAGACACCGCGTTGGCAGCAATGGCAACTACAACAACGTCAACTGCCGCAGCTGCTGGTGAAGGCAACAGTGGTGATGGACCGGATGGCGCATCCACTCCGCTGACTCAACCCCTCTGCGTTGCTGTGGCCACCTCCCACGCTAATGGCAATGGGGGTGCAAGTTGCTCTGATGACGCATCCAAAGCCAGCGATAAGACTGAACCGATGGACATTAGCACTGTCGATGAAGTTACCGTTCCCGTCACGACAGTTTCATCTTCCAAGAACGGGGAAACTGATGCGGCGACAGCAATGATGACATTGGCAGTAGAGGAGGGAGAGGTGAGTTGTTGCGTCGGCTTTTTGTTCCTAGCAAAATATGGTACAAAGCTTACACGAATATGGAATGAAATCGATTGTGAGGCAGACAGAAGATCAAAAAGATTGGTAGCACAGAACTTCATGCCTCCAGTGTGAGCGCTGATTTGCGAGAGGCTGAAAGGGCTTCGTTCTTGGCGCTTTCTGTGATCACCCTTCTGCCTCAGCCGTCACTAGCCCCCAAGTGAGGTGCCATCAAACGCAAGGCAGAGGCGGAGTTGATGCAATGAATGCTCCTCATTTCAGTGGTTGGGACTGTTCTTGTGAATTTAAACGGGATTCTGCCTGAGAAGTAGCCGGTTACTGTTCTGTATAGAGCGAGATTTTTATGTCAAATCGTCAGTCGTATCAATGTTTATCCATGCTGCAGTACCCTGTCTTTACCTCACGATCACAAATTAAATTTGTTTTGTGATCTCGATTCTTCAATTTCGGTTTAGTCAGAATTGTTGTCTGCCGAAAGTTGACGCGGTTCTAGCAGGTTGTCCGTTGAAAGTCTGTGTAGATTTGGCTATTCGGAACTAATGTCTTCGTTTGTGGGCGTTAGCGCAGTGTCCATTCAGCCAAAGTAGGACTTGTGCTTTCGAAGTGTTGCCCACATTTCACTCGTGTCATCCTGATGACATTGATATGGGGGTAGAGAAGAGCTGAAGGTGATGACATGAGTTGATCTCGGAGGTTGCACCACGGGAAAGCGTACAGTTAAGGGGATACATCATCCCTTTACCTCGCCTTTTAAATGTGTATTTTGTAATGATTGTTTTGTTCATTTCATTTTTGTCTTCGGTAGGCAGTGGAGCCCGAGGGCAGACTGAAAATTGATGAGACTAATGCTGGTACTTCTTGTGACTCCATGGATGCGGATGAAAAGGTGAGGAAGTGTTCCTTCAATTCATTCATTATTCCTAGCATGCTTCTGCCATCACGGATTCTGTCCATTTCCAGCAGTAAACGAACGTTTGTTATGGGAGACTAGATGATGAGGTGGTAGCACAGGTGCTTCTTGAAGTCGAGAGGAATTATGAGGACAAAAGTGGACTTTTGGATTCGGCGAAACCAAGATATTTCACTCCTAAGTTAGTTATTTACGCATCGTCTTTGGAGAATATCGTACAGAAGGCGATACGGCGGAGGGTGCGGATTAACTGGATGTATTCATGTTCCATATTGGACCGTCTGTAGTGGTTTGTCCTCTTTAATGCCCAGTGAATTGAAGTGTCTTAGAAACTCAAAAATGCATAATGCAATAAAAACAACTAGACAATCCAATAGTACCTTTAATTCTGGATAGAAATGATTTTTTCCTGGAAAACATATCTGAAGAGATGGGGATGGCTGAATGGGTCCATATTGCAAATGTCAAAGTTCCCAAATCATTTGTCGAATATGTCTAAGATATACCTTCTGGTCCGTTGATAGAAATGCGAAAACCGCTTATGAGATTCTTGTTAAGCATTCAAAGTGGCATTGGTGGTTCTTTTTAAGTCAGAGTTAACACATCAGAAGTTGTTTCAAATTTGAATTAAGTAATCTCTAAGAGGACAAATAAATCCACCCCCCAAATTGCTTCCTGTCCCCGTTTTTTATTCAAATATGCTTTTATTGGCCCCTAAAAATACGAATTTGGCTATTTAGTACTGTTCTGTTTCATCCTGCCAGCCCAAGGCCGAAACATTGGAGGCGGAGACAGTAGACGAGGGTGCCGTGAAGCTGGAGACAGACGTGGAAAGCAGGCTGCACCATCGGCGTTCCTCCTTCATGTTCAACATCGCTGATGGCGGTTTCACTGAGCTGCACACCATCTGGTTGAATGAGCAGCGCGCACTGGAGGAGAACACGGAGGGCTATGAAATTTGGCATCGCAAACACGACTACTGGCTTCTAGCCGGTGTGGTGCAACATGGCTATGGACGCTGGCAGGTGGGTACTGGTGGAGGGACTATTCTCTTACGGACTAGAGCGTTTCATATTTGATGCCTCAATACTCCTCTACAAGCCAACTTCTCGACCTTATTGTTCAGTGTTTGAATTATTCCCGAAGACGTTATGATGCGTACGTGGATGCGATAGCTTTATCATTGCTGTATAAAGGGGCTGTTAGACGAGGAACAGAGCCCATTAATGGCCCACGTGGCGAATTTCGTTTCTGCTTCTAACTTTTCTTCAGCCCTCCCTTGGCCACTCGTCAGCTTCGTGGTATTCAATCTGCCGCGGAACGGGGGACACTCATACTATTGAATCCGCGTTACCTCATCGTTATTAGAAAAGTCATGTAGTTAGATTGAGCTCCTGTATGTCACGTCTTCTGTTAAGTGAGTTTCATCGGAGGGAGGGGTTTGTTTGGATAGTTATGCTTTAGGGAGGATGATATCCCATAGCCTGGTCCGTGTACTAACCACAATTCAAGCTATCTGTGTCTAGACGTAGCTTTGTTCTCGACACAAAAAGGTCGAATGACCCTTGACGGAAATTAATGCAACTGTCGGGTTTTCACAGCTAACTTGACACACCTTTCAACCGCCAAATTCATCGTTCTTAGACATTTGCAGTAGAAACCATTCTTGCCTTTTTTAAACAAAAATAGGACATCCACAACGATCCACGGTTCGCTCTGGTGAACGAACCCTTCCGCGCGGATCAGGGGAAGCCCAACTACCTAGAAATGAAGAATCGCTTCCTTGCACGACGCTTTAAGCTGTTGGAGCAGGCGCTCATTATCGAGGAGCAATTGCGGCGCGCGGCACACCAGAATATCGTTTGCGACCCCAAGGATACCGTCCAGAGTCTCAACCGACGTTTCAATGAGCTAGAGTGCTTGGCAGTGGCACAACAACAGGTCTATGCGGAAGCGCTGGCTGGCAACAAGTCGCTCGTCCAATTGATTCATCGTGGTAGGCGCTGGCTGACTTGTGAAGCGGCACTAGGCCTTGTTCGAGTCCCACTTATGCGAATCTGCTAAGTAGTTGAGTCTACCTTTGCCATATAAGTAGAAAGTTTTTCCTTCTCAGCTTTGACGATGATGGAGGACTACTTGGCAGAGATGAAGCAGGACGTGTCTCGCCTCCTCACCCTGGTTCCGCGAATGCCTCCAGTGTCGGATAGGCTAAATCTCAGTCACACAGGCCTCCTTACCAAGTTGACCCAACACCTTACCGCCGCGAAGCAGGCTAAATTGGCACTGCAGCAGCAGCAGCAGCAGCAGCAACAACAACAACAGCAAGCGGTCAGTAATCCGGCTACTCCGATAGACACAGCCACCGGTGGGATGGAAGAGAAGACTTGAAGTTCTACACCGTCCCACCCTTTCCTCTCCTTTTCTTGTGTGTTTATACATTCGTGTGCCTGTCCCCGATCCCCTACTCTCCTCTTGTATGCGTGCGTCCCACCCTTATCACTTTTGTTTGCGTGCTAGCCTTCTTTCTATATCTGCACTGTTATACATCTTATACATATACATCATCTAGCTTGAAACTGAACCCTTCTTTGGTGTGCCGTCCTGCAAGCGGGGTTGGTCAAACATATGAAGTGTGGGCGATCCCGTTTCTGAATTTAGTAGCTCCATCCTCGCTTTGGGTGGCACGATTTGGTATACATATGTTTTGATTCGATGTGGCTGGGGATTGTGGAAGTTCGGCCGCTATTGCAGGAAACGTTTATTTTTCATGGTGTCGAGGCTATCTTCCCTCCCACCGTAGTTGATGAGTCTAGTCGACTTCTGTGGAAGCGTAGTGTGGCCTTCTTTTGGTTTTAGGATTCATTCAGTTGATACTACTCAAGACTGGTTGATGACTCCATCCACTGCCCAAAAACTAAGCAGTTCAGTAAGTACATGACGGCTCTGCAGAATCAGCATTTGGTGCTCGCTCATCCTTGTCATCCTGTTCTCGCTCAAACTGTCTAGCTGTCTGCATCTCATCCGGTTTGTGCGCACTAAACGAGCGTTTTTTGCAACGACGGGAGTGAATACGACATGGCTGATAAACAGGATCGGCCAGTATGGTATAGGGGAATCTATACTTCTGCAAGTTAGGTGCTAATTTTGTATTTTTTGGTATTTTTGTAGATCCCCATGACTTCCTTGAAGACCAGGCATTTAGTAGTTTTTTTGGGCAGAATTTGCATTGCAGATGCACAGAAGGGCTGCAGGCGCAGCCCGAACGCCATACCGCCCAGCAGAAGTACAAAAGTGGAGCTTTTAGTGCCTACCGTAAAAACAAAACGAAGATGTAAACAAAAAATCAAACCACTACGTGACCTTTCCCCTTCTTTTGAGCGTCGTCCCCCGCGCTCTTTTTGGTCAGCCAGCTGCATCAGATATCGCAACGTACTTGGTGCTGTAAGGAAATCATCCCCGAACCATCCACGTCCACATCACTGATCCCTTCCGATAATTCTACTAGATCTGGAGTTCTGTCCTGTTTAGGAATCGCATTAGGGGAAGGGAAATGTGCAGGTCATCAAGTATGTTTATCACTAGTCGTAGGAATACTGGGCTAAAGGCAAAGTTCTTTAAAGAAGAACGGTGCTTGAACTTAGTTTCGTGGAGATTCGGCTTCGTGTCTGTTTCGCCTCACCACGTTGTTCTCACATCTGTGCTGCCCAGTCGTATATCTATCAGGGTGCCATCCAGCCAGTGGAGGGGTGGAGGAGCTTTCGCATGTTCACTTCAATAACATCTTCATACGGATATCGTGAACAGCTCTATAACGATTTTTCCAGACAGTTCATGGCCACGGCTGGTGACGCTTCAGTTAATAACACCATTCCTCCAGAACCCGGAATTGGGGCAGTTGTTGAAGGTAGATGTCATTTTTAATACTTCTGTTAGGAGCAGTCACAGGTTCTCCCACCTGCAGCATATGCCCCACTTCCGTCCCAGCAGTAGGAAATGTGGTGTTTTTCCCTTCGGATCGGATTCGCTTTCCGGTGCCACAAATGGAACACCTCAAGTCTTTCCTGAAGAAGAAGGAGGGCATAACACTCGGGTAGAATGTGTAACGCAAATTTGCAAAAGTGCTGGCCCGATGACACTGCCACCCACCAGAAGCACAAAGGTGGAGCCAAAATGATCTGGAGTCCCAGTACGATGACCCCTTGTTGTAGCTTGAAAATCTTTCGTTCCCTCTCTCCAATACTTGAATGTTCTCGTATTTGGTTGGGAAGGTATTGCATTACCGAGGACTGATTTAGTCTGCAAATCAAATATATAATCGAAGGTTAGTCAAAAATTTAATAAAATGAAGTGGTTTTAGCTATTGAGATTGCGGATGGAGTCGGGTACAGCCCAGTCTTGGAGAGAAATTTTGCAAGTTATCTAGAGTGTTCAATGGTCAGTAGAACCATAGATTAATGCAGTGGGCTCGAAATTTATTCGTAACTTTTTCAAAAACAGTAAACGCAAAAAGAATGTTTTGCAGCAAAATCACAGAGTCGTTTTAACCGTTTACCACCGGAGAAGCGTTTCCACATACATATTGGTGGACGAGAAATCGTCAGTTTTATCAGCCACAACGAGGTTGTAAATGCTTGGTAAAGCCTTTACATGAATGAGGCAGACACCTCATTTAAGTGAGCGCATTTTTAGGTTTTGGGTACCTAAAGATGGGAAATGATTCAGAGTTTGAAAGCCTAATACGGTGGCGACTGTTAGCTCATTCACTCCCAAGGCATTCTGCTTCACTTTCAAAGTCGCTCTCTATTTCCTATCTCCAGCTTCAAATTCTTTTGGTGTTTTGTGTATATTTATTTACGAATCTACATTCTTTCACGGGTTGTGCACTTTCTTTCTACGATCGGTTCAAATATTCTTAGTAATATAATGCCTAGGGACTTCTATTGGTGGAAAATGGTTAGCTTTTTGGTAAAAGTAGTACTGAAGGTCTTGTTTTATCCATTTAAAGCAGACTAGTCGTTGCAACTTATTACCGGAAACTGAACTTGAAATGAGTTTCGCACTTGCTTCGGCATTACTCAAACGTCTTTCAACGCAAAGCTGAAGGACGCTTAGACATCATCTTCAAACCGGATCCTGAATCCATAGAAAAAGTGCATTTATTACACTCTTAGATTTCGCATAACAATGTTTCAAGCTGAAGAAAACTTCCCTTCTTTAGGCTGTAATGGCAGAAAAACGTTTGCAAGTTAGGTGATATGCAAAACGCAAAAGTTTTGCCCCCATAAACAGGCTTGAATGGCATTCATGATTGCTATGTCAGTCTAAGGGTGTGGTGGCATGGCTTTCTGCAAGTGGAAAATTGGATAATTGTCTCCTTTGCAAATCTCGCCTCCACCACCGCCGCCGCCGCCGACACGAGTCACTGCGTGTGCGTGGGAATGCAAGACATTCACCTTCCATGATTTCACAATCATCTTTAATGCGTCTATTAGTGTGGATTTGGCTTCAATCAGACCTCAAATCTACCAGAATAGGTGAGAAGCTAATCAGGAGTATCTAGTGGACACAGCAAACATTCAATTTTCGCCTGTAGAAACTCAGAATTTGCATAGCACTAGCCACTGTGCGTATAATGATGCCGAATTGTCAGAGGACCAAGTCTGCAGGTGTCTACCTCTTTCAGAGGGTAATAGCATCCCTTTTTTTCTACACCGACAAGCATTATCGCATCCTAAAGAATAACTGGACGAGTCAGTTTGGTCCTAAATGGACAAATATCCTGCCAATGCCTGATCACTCCTGCAAAAGGGTAAAGGGATTTAAGCCATAAATGCTATTTACAGTCACCAACTTCGTGTTTTACAAGAAGACAATTGACAGCTGAAACTGCAACACACTTGAATGATTCAAAAACAGTCGTTAAGGCACTACCTTCGGTTCTCAAATGAAGGCAAGAGATAGGTGCGAACAAGTAACATCTTCATGTCTCTAGTACCTAGATGGAAACCAGAAAGGCGTCTGGGTAGTACTGAGGTGGGAACAACGTGACATGTAGGCACAGATATGGAGATAAGTATCAGCCCCATGAAGATATCTTAAAAGACCTTGCATTTAGTTGCCTGTTGCCATAGATAGCGATTTGCGTCTAAGTAACGCTTTGTGGAGCATTATGTATTCCCAATCACCGCAAAATCGGTGGATCCCTCCCCACCAGTGTATTTCACAAAGGGACTGGATTTGCGCTTTTAGTTGAGCCAAAGTGGCTTGGTAAGATCAAAGGACATCCTAGCTACAAATTTCACCCTCCAACCCCAACGAAAACTTGATGACGACGTCAATGCAAAATATTCTTTCATCCCAACAGGGCTTGTGACAACCTTGAGAAGACACAATACACCTTAGATGATGGGAGTTTGTGTTGGAAGTCTATTCCAAGCCAAACACAGCACCGTCTGACACGACCTGTGGTTGACGGATTCCGCAAGTCGCGAGACCTTGTCGAAGATGCCAATTTCACCGCCTTTCAATAAGAGCATGGCTCTGATCTTGCAAGTTAGGCCTTAACCAATTAGTTGAATTCCATCTCTGGACTGAAATGCTTCTTTGAACAAAGATTCCAGACAAAAGTGCACTGAATATAGATGCCCTTGTAGCTGCTGCCGATTCACTGTGTAATTAACAAACTCAGTGTGCAACTGTTGTCGATGCTTCCTAAGGCGTCTTAAATAATCATTTAGGGTAAGGAATCTACTTGACTTTAGTTTTCATCAAATTGTAAGACTTATGCCTATATTTATAACTTAAGGCATTTTCGATGCTTCATTTTATTGCCTGAGCCGATTTTTTTTCACCCCTGCTTAATATGAGTGGCATCTGAAGCACAGGATAACTACATAATGGATGGTTTGCAAACCACCGCATAAAGTTGATAATTGGATAATGCCATCATTGACCTTCAAAATCATACTGGAAGTGTATGCGATAGAGAGAGAGATCGTTTGTGACTGGAGCCTGTAACACAACCTTGAGATATGTCGTGACACGACTTGAGCACAATGCAGAAAGACGAAATGGAGGAGATGTTCACCCACACAAGTTGTGCACAAGAGTGGTTAATCACACTCGTGATCGCTTAGCGCAACCTGAGTTCTGTCACAGTTGGAGAAAGAGATTATTTGACAACTCGGTCGATGGCGCAGTCTCTTACTTCCCTCATTTGTGCCTCGGAGATTTTCCAGTAGTATGTGATGGCAGTCATTTTTGGAATGGGGTTTAAGTAAAACCTTTAATGACATTCTGATGTCCAGAAAATCATCCTTTGCAGAATTTCCGTCCAGATGTAGTTAAGCAAAACTAACCAAACAACCGTTATCATAATGGAATAGGGACAAGTGGAAATGTACTTTCAAAGTACCTTAAATGTAGGGCGTCAGGCTCATCGAATCACTTCTAAGGGCTCTTTCAAAAGAACGGCAATTGCGTAGCCAAAAGTCAAACCATTGGCACAAGATTGCAAACATGGAGACGAGGCATTCCATATTTAGCAACCTGGTGCTCGCAGGTATTTAATTTGTTTACTTGACAATGAAGTGGTAATATCTTCAGGGGGCAACCATTTTCAGTGTGTTTTCTTAAATCGCAACACTGAATCACATTTCACTCTGAAGACGGCAGTTCAACTGATCCGTAGACGTCGGATTTGTAAGAACGAAGCCATGTTCGTATGGAAATGTGGTAACATTGGCAAATACTAACGAGGAATGTGAATATTTCGGAAGATCCTAAGATCTCAGTACACTCTCTACAAAAGTCCTCAACAATGTCATTGAAGTAGTTATGTTTTTGAGGGACTTCCTCCATTCAATAGCGTTAACTTTTAGCCGGTCGAGCTGTTCTGACTTTGGGGGTGATGGAATCGTCAGCGAGATAGTTCTGAAGATGGTGTAGCTATGTCACGTCCTAGGGAGAATGCTACCTACTTGCGGCAGTGCGCGATGTAGGTCTGGTCAAGACCCCTCAATATTGCTTCCTCTGCAAAGCAGATTGCATCAGGGAAGCATCTATCTGGAAGAGGGTGCTAATGCCTGGGCAGCGCTCCTTCGCAGTAAAAATGCAAAGAAACAAGATGGGAAAAATCATGGTCAAAGACTTTTTGAAGTCGTTATGTTTGAAAAATTGTTGCAAGCCTTTCCTTGTGGTAAACTTGATTAATCGGAACTTGATTTTACTGCATGGAAGTAAAACACGGGAGTTTACAAGGGTAGACGTCGTTTTATTCATTCTGTCATAAATGTCCCCAGCTTTTAGCCATTCTTAGGCGATATCTTCCTTCGGCAACCGGTTGATGAAATCAGGATTGGGCTTCATTTGGGTCAGGCTGGTCTATCGTTGCTACCAACGTTGGTCCTTAAGTCTAACCGAAAGTCATGGTAAACGCTTAGAAGGAGTGAGAGGCTATAGAAATTCCTGGAGGGCCCTGTCGTCAGAATAAAAGTCCAAACCGCAAAGATCGAAGAGGCAGAGTTGCTAGATGTGTAAATGAACAAGGGCCAAATCACCTCACATTTGATGGTCATTCTAAACATCAAAATTGGGCACTAGTTGTATTATTTTGACCGTTTCCTAAATTCTTCGTTTTGATTTCGCGGGATCGTAGAGCCTCTCGACTTCACTTGCGCTAAGATTTCCCTCCAATCATGCCGGTGCCCCACCTCCCCCGAATAGACATTCTGCCCAGGAAGTAGCCCTTCTTTCGACTTTGCGAAAGCCTCGGGACACTACATTGTTGGCAGCGGATAGCGAGCCCGACCCCAAAGGTCAAGCACCATGATTTCTACTGCTGGGGGATAAAACACCGTGACAGAAGAAGTGCATATGCCACAGATAGGAGAATCTCTGATGACGTGTAACAGAAGGGTTGAAAGTGACGTCCATGTCCTGCAGCCACCCCGGTCCTGTGTTCTACAGGAATCCTGTTAACAACCGTAAACTATCTAAGAAAGTTCGCTACGGAGGTGTCTACGGTACCTGTTTGAAGATTTCAATAAAAATGAACACGAGATACCTTCTCCACCTTTCTACCAGCTGGATAAATCCTAGAAAGATAGGGCTAGGCAGCGCCGAAACGAGGTTAAATTGACAAGGAGAAACTGAGGCTAAATAATATCCCCACGAAACTAGCTTGAACCCCATTCCTTATTAATCTACTCTGCTTTTGTTCCAGCGATGGACACGCGTGGTAGTCAGCACATTCACCCTTTCCTCAATGCAGTTCCCAAGCAGGGAAAGACTCTAGAACCCTTGGAACTGCCAGGAGGGATCGGTGATGTAGCAGTCAGATATCTCCTAAGTTGCACGCAACTTCCATGGCTGGCGAGGCTGGTTTGTGGGTGTTTACTTGCAGCAGCGATTACGTGATGGCTGGTGCAGGTGGTTGACCAAGGAAAGCGCGTTTCGTTTTCGTTTTTTGTTTTGTTTTGGTGGTAGGCACTGAAAGCTCCGGGCTGCGCCAATAGCCCCCAGGTCCTCCTTAAGTTGGCAATACAAATTCTGCCTCGGGATTGTGACTTCAATCGTCTTTAGGGAAGTCTCAGGGAGGTGCAGTATTCACTGCCACAGTTTAAATGCAGAAGAATAGCAGAAAATGAGCCACACAGAAGTGCACCGATTGCCATCTTCAACATTCAATCACTTTGCGTGGGACGGATCATTGAAAAGGCACGAATCTTCGAGAAGCTCGTTGTGAGAGCTAGAAGTGTTTCTGGGAATGGTGTGTTTCCAGAACATGGTTCGAAGGCGTGCTTTTCAAGGTGGAGATTAGCCCCAACTGTGATTGTAGAATGCCAGTAAAATAATGCCCACGTCTGGTGTTACAATCCTCATCACCTCTCAGCAAAAAAAGAGCAAATGAACCCGCTTCGACGGATAATTTGGTCAACAAAAAGCTATCTTGAGTGTTCCGTTTTATCCCGGGTTGGAGGGCTTTTTATGTAGCCCTAAGCCAAAAAAGCTAAGCACCGCGAAGCCATTAAAGTGAGGGCTAAAATGCACACGCGGTTCCTACCACCACAGCCTGGATGTCGCGATGTTCTTCAATGACACCAGCTGTTAGTAGTTTTCTGTTGAGCTAGTCTACTGCTGCTTAACAGCCAAAAGATGTAATCACCCACAGACCAGTAACACCCTGCAGCGCGTCGCGCCACCTGATGCAGTCAGTTGTTTGACGTCACATTTGGGTAACGTGCCAACCAAATCATGAAATTCTCATCGCACCTACCTCAAGTAGCATGACTTCAAGCCACCACCGCAACGTCAAAGTAAAGCCGACAAGAGGCTCCTTTAATGTGCAATAATGGGTTGTGCCTTAGTTCAGGACTGAACGAAATGTCGGCACCCGTTTGGTGCCAGATAGTTGAATGGAGTAACTGACACCACATTGATGGATGGATTCGAAGTCAGACGCCCGCTCGTCGCAGCTGAAGTTCACCAATTTGGCGGTAATTTTCCGCTTCATCAAACCTCGGAAATGGCGTTGTCCTGGTGCTAGGCAGTTGATCCGCTTCAAGTCTCCCAGACAGAGTGATTTCGAAAAGCAAATTTCCGATACATCCACGAAGAACTTGAGTAGGAAATATGTCACTTTATTTCATATCAAATCTAGAGTGAACTTACTATTCCGTCTACATCTACAACAAATACTGCACTCTCGAATTAAAACACTTTGATGCCCAATTCAAACAATGTGACGCTGTCAATAATCCTTTCCATCTGAAACAGTTGATTCAAAGTCGGCGAGTGCTAGCTAATCCCAAACTATACCACCCCCTCCACAACCCACAAGAAGAAAGGGAGATGCCAAATCTATCAAAATAGGTGTGGCTTTTTTGACTCGATCCAACTTGTACACGCACGCGCACACATCATGAATGATGCGTGTGCAATGCCATCTTACTTTCAAAACGAATCGAGAAACGCAAAGGTAACTAAGGAGGGAGAACTTGGCTGCCCTCCCTCCCCAGAAAAAGAAAAAGCACACACAGGTAGGTGAGCAGATGGTAAAAGAAGTAAAATTTACAGGAAGTTCCGCGAATAAAGCGTGCAGCAGAACGAGAACAGGAGGTAAAATAGGGTAACATTGCTGTACATGTCTCACTTAGTCCGAGGGCCCGATGAGCTCAGCTGCTCCTCTGAGGCGGAGTAGGGAAACAGAGGCTCCCAGAGAACCTACATGGGGCAAAAAGGTAAACAGTGGGCATAAGGTCAACTAGGCAGCTGGTTAGAAAGTGAGGCTGATCTCAAGTAGGCGAAAAGAGGTAATAGCACGCGGCAGGCAATTCCACCTTACTCATAATCGGAACTCCATTGAAGTAGAGGAAGAGGGATTCTGATGCTGCGTTTCACTTGAGAGATGCCGCTTTGAACGCTGAATGAAGAAAAGCGAGAGAAAGTAAGGCGAATCAGATGCTGAAGCTTCCTCCAGGATTTCCTACCTCCCCCAACCTTTCCCTCTGTTTAATCCCTGTTTAGGTCATTAGACATGAAATTTCGGTCGAGAGTGCTATCGACAACAAGGGGCGTTTTGACAGCAGAATTCTTAACAAGGTGGTGGAATAAGTAGACAGAGGTGAATGGATGGGTGTTAGGGATAACTCTTCGTTTCAATTGTGATGGGAAGTCACCAACCGTGATCGATTTACTCGGTGCCATAATCAAAGCCGTCATGCATGGTGCCAGTTAGTGGTGGACCGATAAAAAAAGCATTAGCAGATTCTGGGTCTTTTGACACCCGAGTCACCAAATCTTTGAAAGTGGATTGAGTGAAACTCTACTTGTATGCAAATGAATAAGCTGCTCAAGAGGTTTTTCATACTACTCTTCGATCCGAAGTCCAACATTTCCTCGTTCCGCAAGCAAGTTCCGAAAAAGCAATGTAAATTTCCATTCCAGACAAATACGCATCTCTAACTTCTTTCACAAAACGACTTTATCGTATCAATCAAAGCCGACGATAACCAGAAGGAAAATAATCAAACCACGTACCTTATTGAGAGAGCCCCTCCGATGCGGGCGATGTCGATGGGCTTTAACCACAGCCACCACCGGATCCGCATCCTCACCTCCGACCTCTTCCTCCTCCACATTTTCTGCCCTTTCTACCTGCACCATCGCCGGGACGCTCGCCCATCTTGCTCTACTATCCGACGATGACTGTGGCGCTGACTGCGACGGCAGAACCATCGGTGAGGCTGGCAACCGGCCCTCTGAGGTGAATCGGAGGGAGGAAAGCTCAGGGTCGGATGCAGTGACGAGAAAATCGTCATCAAAGCTAGTCCCACCGACGCGATTACTGTGGCGACTGTGACTACGACCACCGCCGCCGGCCTCGCGCCGATTCTCAGCATCAGAGCCGGAAGGAAAGGGAGAAGGAGGAGTGTCTTTAGGCGAGTGATGATAATGAGGTTTCATCACACCATCGAGTGTCGCCGACTTGACCAAGTCAGCGCCGAATGGATGACCAACATGGAGTTTCGTGGACACAAGCTGCTGCTGGTGCTGCCGGTAACGCTGATGCAGTTGCTGACGCTTATCTTTAAATCTCGCGGTCGGTGCATAAAGCCATTGTTCAGCCATCGAGAGAACTTTAGCGTCGTCAGGCTTGTCGAAGGCCGTAGAACCCATGGCGAGGTGGGAAATGCGCTCGGGATGGAGGCGAAGCCAGGTCTTGCACCATTCCCCATCAAAGTCTGAAAAGCAATCCCATGAGGTAAGACAAAAGCCAGCATAGAGCTAAATAATTAGTTGAATAAAATAGGAAAATCTGCACACAAAACAGTTAGAAGCTTACCGGGACGGGTACGGGTCTCGCCAGACGTTGAATCCTTGGGAGAGACGTTTTCCATGCTGCCAAGTCGCTGAAAGAGGAACAAGTAAAAGCCAACCCAAGGGTTACCTCGTATTTTCAATAACTCCCACTATCAGTGCATCACGAAACGTATAGGGTTAACTTTAAAGGTCCATTTATAACCGGAAGTAAATGTAATGCTTAGGGTAGTATTTTTGAGAGAAGGTATTCAACTTCGGCATTGGTGACAAACTGCATCTTTTAAATATTACACAAAAAACCCACCATTTCTGGAGGGCGAAAACCGATAACGAAGCAAAAACAGTAACTTGGAGATCCACGCAAATAAAACTCCGTTCAAGTTCATTCAGTGAAACTCCACTTTCTGACAACGAACCTAAACTCTCGTATTACGGGAAGGGGAATGTCCAGCTCAACAGCCCAGAACACTAGTTATCCTTACAGTTCCAAATGAGTGAGGAGAACGTCGCGGCCTCCACCATTGAAAAGTTGAGTAAATTAAAAAAAACATTTATTAAT